AATGGAGAATATATCATCGGGCATCACAGAGGGGTATACACTGACCTACCTTGGATATCATGGGGTCATAGTGAATGCTGATTTCACTACCCTCTTGGATTCCGGTGTCCACACGAACATTGGGGATATTTTTAGGCTCCTGATACCTGTACAAGTGACCGATGGACGGCATGCCGAAAGCCTTGTATGGATCCTTGGAGAGAAAGACGGTGAGACAAATGGGTGATTGTGTATCTAAAGCTATTTGAATTTGGAATCACAAAAAGCAAAAACAAATTGGAAATAGGATGGATATGACCCTGAGAAATTTTTAATTCTTTACTGGGCTAGTGAATTTCCTGAGTGTTATCTACCAATAAATCATTAAATTAATCAGTCAATTGATCAATAAGTGACCTAAACAATCATTAATTGATCCTATCATCTGGCATTTATCTAGAAGACCTCCTGAATCCTCCAAAATCCTCCACTGTGCAGGGAACCAATGGTACATACGTTGTGCTTCAAGCCCAATGTACAGTACTGATGGCTAGCCTCTACCTTCCTTAACCCTACAAAATCTTTGAAGACCTGATGGAATTTGAAGGATTTAGGATGGGTTAGATTTTAATGGAATACCTCAGCATAGACCCTGCACTCCACTGCCCAGCCATTGATGGGCACATCTGCCTGCCTGAGCTGGAGTGGGTATCCCTTAGCCACTCGGATCATCTCTTGCACAATGTCCACCCCAGTGATACATTCCGTGATTGGATGCTCAACCTAAGATTGGCATGTAAACATTTCAGGAGTGAGGCAAAAGTAATGGATTGGCCGAAATATACAGGTCTGTGCTTTATCTTTTCGTCTAATTAAGTTGGCAGACCTTGGCCATGTTCCAGGTGACCATTTTTACCCATGGCTACAACTGTTTAGTGCGGTGTGGTAACGGCAAAACTGTAAGCCACAGGCACAAAATACAAATTTTGAAACGGCCGCAAGCCATGTCTAAGTGACGTGCTGTGGCTGACAACAACACACATGTCTATGATAGATATGAGAGATAATTGTAGCTTCTGGCCAGTGGCTCTCCCAGGTAGACACACCATTCCTGGCCTCAGCCGAGAAACTTATACACAACTGTACTTATGAACTTCACAAGCTCCGTGCACAAGCTAGCTTCCCAGTGGCAACCCTGCGGCAACACTTTATCATTTCACCTGTAACCTGGTATTCATCTCCAGGAAGTAAAAATTCCTCTGCGAGTCAACGAGAAACTCAACTGTCCCTGTGCAAATGAAAAAAAAGGGAGAACAAATGTTTAACTTGGTTTATTCCATGGAAAACGCTACCTCAGACTATCACAGAGGATGACTTCGACCAGCCCCAATCCTGAAGAATTCTCCAAAATGTCTAGGAGGACTTTGAAGTATCTGGAATGATTGAACACAGACGAAAACTTAATTCAAGGAGGAACACGATGCCCATCCAAAAATATTTTTTCCATAAACAAGGCAAACCACCAGTTTTTGTTACTACCAGCATATCAGAACTCAACCATCAAATTTACCTTGACAAACTTTGTGGTTGAGCGATTAAAGATATCTGCACTCGTGAAGTGACGGTCATGGGTTCAAATCCCACCCAAGTGCGCTTGTGAGCTTTTCCTTACAGGCTCTCAGACAGCACCAAGTGTGCTGTTCTAAATGCCATCCTCAATGGGCAAAACCAAACATTTAATGGGAAAACAGTCTTCTTTTTTACCGGCGGTGATGTAGTTGACAGCTCTGGCCAGCTGGACGGCCTGGTTGCCCATTCTCTTCCTAGTTTCTTCGTCTAAAAACACGCTGCAGGAAGGCCGGGGAAAAAAAGCCTCAACTTCAAAAGGATCTTTGAGTAACTTTTTGCACAGGTGTTTTAATCAATCTGTTTGTTTGGGTTGATCTCGGCTCTTTTAACACATCTGGGTTTTGTTTTTGTTTAACAGCTGGGGCCAGGTGCCCTGTCATTGTCAATGGCTTCACTGGTTGCAAAATCAGCGGACACACATTGACGGCAGACAGATGAAAGTTTGAAAAAAGCCTTAGGTTTGTTTTTAACTGTAAAAATTTTTTGCAACTGTGCCGGAGCAAAATTTGATTTCATTTCCACTGACCTTGGCGCTTCCTCGATCACCTTCTGATTTCGTCGCTGTATGGAACATTCTCTCTCGTTCAGATAGATTGCATTGCCATGGCTATCAGCTAAAATCTGAGATCACGAAAACAGAATATCAACCCTAACCCCCGAGGGTGAAATTGGAGGATTGAGGACTGTAAGGGTCCAATGCCATTCAAGGAACTACTTTGATGAAGGGAAAACCTACTTACTTGCATTTCAATATGTCGTGGGTTGTCAATGAATCGCTCTATCAAGAGACGATCGTCGCCAAAGCTGGACGCAGCCTCCTGAGACGACAGACGAAATCCTTCCCTGAAAAAGACAAATTAAACCTTTCAAAGCAATATGCATTTTTCTGTTAAAATATTTCACAGACAAACACCAGTGGCTCCCTGACCCAAAACAGATAAACACCATTCTGACCTTTGTTTGCCGAGAAAAAAATTTGATCATCATTTCTCTTTAAAATGATTTCTCACAGAATGCAACACGGACAATTCTATTTCTAACCCAAGTTAAAAGAATGCTTGGAGTTCCTGAAGCCATATGATTCCAACAAACTCAAAACCATTCTGTTAGTTCTTGTCGGAATCAGCAGGCATCAACCTTTGCCGTCATAGAACTTCAAAAAAAGGGAAACTTCACTTTCTTGGTGCTGTACATTTCGCTGGATTCTAAACACAGGCCCGTAGGGTACTGAGGGCTCCCTTACCAGAGATTCCATGATCAAAACTGAACACAACAAAAAATCTTTGATCCTTGAATTATTCTTGAGTGATCCTTGAGAATCTTGGAGTTATTGTACCTTGCTTCGTCGTCGTTCCAAGCTATTCTCATTCCTTTGCCCCCACCGCCAGCTGACGCCTTCAGCATCACTGGATACCCTGCAAAGTGACCAAATTATCGAGTGCATGCATTTCTCGGTGACATACACAGCCAAATTCCCAACTCCATTATTGTTGAAACACAGAGACGAGAACTCAGTAACAGGGATGAATGATACTCCATTTCTAGGATATCCTTTCACTGAAATACAGATATAACTGTTAATCACAACAAGACAGAAGTACACATTATCAGTGAATTTCATTTTTGTACAAAAATGTTATTGTCAAAATCTGTGCAAGGAATTAAAAAAATATCCACAAAAAAATCAAGACAATTATTTAACACATTCTTACAACATTCCATGAAAAGTAAAAAAAAATAAAATGGAGTTCAAAATTGTTGCAAGAAGGGCCAACAAACAAGACTTGGATTTCATGTAGCCCTTAGGGTTCTCTGTACCTCTATGAGAAGGAAAAGTCCTTACCTATCTCATTGGCCTTCTTGACTGCCTCTGTCTCATCTTTGATGACCCCATCAAAGCCCGGGATGGTGTGCACCCCAGCCTCCTTGGCCAAGATCTTGCTCTCGATCTTGTCGCCCATGGCATGGATGGCATCCGTGCCTGGACCGATGAAGATGATTCCCTCGTTGGTCAGCCTCCTGGCAAAGTCTTTGTTCTCTGAGAGAAAGCCATAGCCCGGGTGAACCTGAACAAAATGAAATCTAAACCCCATTTGCTCGGAGCTTTAATATTTGTTGGTTCGTCAAACTGTTTGAAACCATGGTAAATGTGTTTGGATAATTATGGCCATAACTTAAAAAAAAATAGTTCCATGGGACCAGGAGACTTCAAAATAGGTCAGTTTTTTCTTTACATTGTTTTCTCTTCACTTTTTCTTGAGGAGAAGTGGGAGGGCGGGGCATTATAGGTGGAGGGAGGTAATCATATCCCTGTATGAAGAGACTCACAGCCTGGGCACCGGTTTCTCGTATAACCTCCATGATGCGGTCAACATTGAGGTAGCTCTCTCGAGACGCTGCCGGGCCGACACATCTCGATTCATCTGCCATCTTAACATGCAACTATGTAGCAGTACAGAAAAAAATATCAAATTTTGTTAAGCAGCTGGTGGTAAACCTTGCTCATAAAGTCTTGTGCCTTCACTGTTCTGAATACACCTTCTTTTAAATAGACAACGGTTCCATAAGCAGGAAACAATGTGCTTATCAGAGCGGCAGGCAACCCATCACTCAGTAAAGAAATTTGATGAGAATGCATTTGCTAAACAGCAACAGGTTACCAGCTAACATTTCAGGCACTGTATATATTTCCTGTGACTGGTGCTCTGATGATCTTTTGCTTAGCGATAATTTCGGGTACGCAATTGTATGTCATAGGGAAGAAAAGCTGACCAACCCTTTCTGAATACTCACCGCACTGGCATCAGCCTCGCTGTAGATAGCAACCGTCTTGATCCCCATCAATCGACACGTGTGCATGACGCGGCAGGCAATCTCACCCCGGTTGGCAATCAGGATTTTGTCGAAAGTCTGCCAAGACGGCACAAATCCAGATCAGAAAAAAAGTGCTGCAAGAGAAACTGTTACGATTTCCTCTGGGCACCTCTCTACCCCTTGAGCTATTGGGTTTGTTGGTCTGCCTCTCTCATGGAAGTAAAGTGACAAATCCAAACTTTTCTAGGGATAGGTAGCTCTGACAAGTCTGAGACAGTATCACCGAAATCAGGTTTTGTCATGATTGCTGGGACTGTTTGGTGCTTTTTGGTTTTCTTTATTTAACTAATGCAACTTTCAACATTATAAAGATTAATCCTCCGAGAAAATTGTTCCAGCTTGAGTTTAATGACTGAACTACATGTGAGGTTGACAGTGAAAAATTGAACTATTACTTGAGAGACATACGTGTAATATGAAATTAAACCAAATGAACTTTTAATAATAATCAAGAACATGTGGAAAAACACAAGTTTACAATTGAGAATATCCCTCTGGGGAAGAAAAATTGCAGTTGCCATGGTAACTTTATACTCACTGGCTCATCTGGGTTTATTTTGGTGGTTGTGTAGATGGAATGGTTTCTCCAGAGAGTAGCACACGGAGCATGTCTGTGCAGAAGCTGCAGAGTTTAAAGGTATGGAGAAGGAATATCCACATATTTGATAAGTTTAAAATGGGGGTACGGATGGAACCTGTTAAAATCATTGCACTTTCTAGATCTGTCCACAGTTTTGACAAGATGCAAGGCAAGGACATAATGAACATAAATAGCACAGTGTTGCAACTTGCATGATTAACATGATTATTAATTGGATGCTAGTAACGTAAGCCGATCTGCATGATCATGAAGATTGCTTGCATGCTTGTTCTACGGAATGACCTGATCCCATATGAAATCTCAAGCTACAGGCCTACTTTTTTTTTCAAAACAATCTGTCACAAGTGTAAATTAGAAAGATAATGCAATTTGCTGATGATGAAATTGGACCTAACAGCTACTAACATTAGACCTAAAATCACCAATACGATGCATGACCAACGTGACCAATTTCAAAAGGAAAAAAAAAATAAATAAAAATTAATAATTCCAATTTTCTTTAGCAAGCTAAGTTACTGCATTGAATACACTTACTTTGCCGGCTCTTGCAGCTTTGCTCTTGGAGCAATCGATGCCCCGTAAATGCTGCAAAATACGAGAAAATCTCAACACAGTTGCCATTTCGTTCGTGTGTTCAGTGCATAATCAAGATAGCCGGCCGCACACACGTACGTACGTACATACGTACGTACGTAGTACTCTCGCATGCAATCTGTGCAGAGCGCCACCAACCGCTGGCATGTTCTCTCGTGATATCGGTCTGATCTTTGCCTCCGCCGCCTACTATTTTGCTACATACTTTTTGACTGACCACAGTTTTTCTCGAAGGCACTTACCGCCGGTCGTAAAGCCAGACTAAACCAAAAAGAGTGCTTCAAAAGGAATGGTCCTCCCCAAAAATATAAAAGAAACTTTTAAAACATTTTTTACCGTATACAAAATTGATTCTAAAAAGAGATTTTACTTTCATTTTTCAATTATAAAAATTTTGTTTAAAATACGTTTTTTCTACTTAAATCAACTTTTTGAGGGTGTTCCAGGAGTGTTCAATGTTATCTGGGTCACCGGATAAATGAGCTCATGACGTATTTTCATGACGGAAAGTACGGTACAAACACGGGTGGCATCGCTCATGTTTACCACCTATTTCCAGCTCAGTTTTCCTCCATTGGAAGTGGAAGTGAACTTGAAAAGGGCGTGACTTCAAGGAAAGGTACATCTTTCATCCTTTTCTGACCAAATGTAGCTTGAATATTATATGCCTGGTGAACGTATTCAGGTATTGCCGGGATCAGTACGATACGACGTGCAAATTTTGCTGTTCCCGACTATGGTACATGTATGTATGGGAGTAGGCCCACGGGCCTAGCAATCCCCCATTGGGAACTTTGTGACATGTCTAGTCCTAGTCTAATGTTAACTTTCTGACCGCATCCTGGATTATTACTTGGAAAGAGTTCCAAGTACGGACGCTAGTAATTATTCCGTACAGCGACGCCTTCAGACAGCAAAAACATGGCCAGAGAAGTTAAATTTATGAGGGAAAATACCAAGTCATTCATTTCTGTCAGTAGAGGCGCAGATCACAACTCAGGGACTGCCCCTGAATTTGGAGAATTCCTTTTATTCGGGGACAATACCAGTCCCCCAAAAGAGAGAATGTCCCCATAAAAGTGACATTTTTCCCCAAGTGGCCTTGGGTCAGAAAATATCCATGCACTATAGGCCTATCAATAATATCATTTTTTTCCCCCACATTTTCCATTCATTTTAAAATATTCCAATTGTTTTTTATGAACTTCGCATGATGCCATTCGATTACGTATATGTAAAGGATTGATATTTGGAAAAATTGTTCTGATAGTCTTTTTCCCACCTTTTATGCTAAATTGCATACTCTTGCTCAAAATCCTAGAAGTAAACAGGATTTTTTTTAAACAGCAGCCTTGGGTGTTTTTTTCCTGCTGAATTTAATTAGGCCTATGGCAATAAAAGAACCCCCAGGGCAATGGTAGGATCTTCAAGCCCGCTTAAAAAAATTGTCCCCCCTTAGGGAGACATTCTATGTTTTGGGGGACTGATTTTGTCCCCAAATAAAGGGACTTATCCACATCCAGGGACAGTCCCTGAGTTGTGATCCGTGCCTCTTACTGTCAGTAGAAAACACTAATGTTAGAGTTTTTCAGACTAGTCTGATGTGAGTAAACCTTAGGTACCATCATTATTGGAATCTCCGATTCTCACTTAATCCTAACCTGGGCACATTAGACAGTTTAAGGACTTTTTTGGAGGTGAATTCGGAGGATTTTGATTTGGGGTACGACACTTTTTGAGTGAAATGAATTAGGCCTGTTATACCCCAACTATGGGACAGCATGGACATCCAGGATTCTTGCAAAATGGCGGGTACCCCGCCAATGAAAACAGCCGCCATGGCAATGCACACACCAGCCAGTCAGATGATCGGGTTAGGCCTACACAGTCTTTTCTTTGATCAGTTCGTACGCGCACGCTCGTTGCAGTTGTTTTCATGGGCGCGGTGTGGTGGCTACCCATCATTTTGTGAAACTCCCGGATGTCTGCGCTGCCCCGTAGCATCAGTCCCATCTACATGTATAGTCGGGACTGACACTTCAGTTGGGGTGTAACGGTCCTAATGGAAACAAAAGTATATGGAAGGTAAGCCTTACACCTTGCATAAAACCCTGTGAGACCAGTTTGAAAAATTTGAAGGGTTTTCCAAGTAATTGCTTCAATATTTTCCTTGCTAACTTTGACTTTTCAAGACATGTTACTTTCTGATGGTTGATGTACCACTGTACTGAAAAATTAGTGATGTCCTTATATGGAACTCTTCCCATCAAACTCAGCATGGAAAATACTGCAGTATTCACCCAGAAAACAGAATTTTTTTGACCAGCCTCAAAGAGTTGCGTGCAGGTTGTCAAGCAGCGTCCGTGTGTGGAGTTATTTCCATATTAATTCTTCATTGAGGTCGAGACGGGTTATGAAAAAAATCTAGAAACCAGGTTGATACCCCAATTTTTGCAATTTTTTGTTCAGGTAGGACCTACAGACGGCCATTGAAAACCGTACATTGTTTCAAATTGCATAAGATTCACAAAAGTGCTTGACACAAATGGAAAGGTACTCAATGCCGAACAGGCATACCATATGAAGCAGTAATTGGTACTGATTTTTCTACCAGATTGTACCAATGCACTGCTGTGACAGCAAGTGTCCAACACTTCGTCTCCTTACCCTGATCTGAACCCCAACCATCGTCGAGCATCAATATCGAGCCCCCTGACCCCCCACCCCAACAAAATGACAGTCGGGATGAGAGGCAGCCCCACAGGGGGCGGGGACTCAGGGTCAGAGGGGACTCCTGCCACAGAGACCAATCCCCACCAACAGAACCAGCCGCAGACCCTGGGGCAGCAGTCGCAACCGGTGACGCCACCCAGCCCTCAGCAGCCCCCTGCCCAGGTACGTGTCAGACCAAGATGAGCTGTCATGTAGGTTAAAAGTAACAAATGTTAAGACCACACTAAACAGTAGCTGTAGTCATAGAGCCTGGGGCAGTAGCACTAGATATGTATACTTTGTAGGCACATATTATTATTAAAGTAAGGTCTTTGTCAACCATGAAATAGCCGCATAGAAGTAGCCCCGTTATTTTTCTCATAGGGAGGCAGTGGCGACAGCGACTTGGAGGTGGATTTGGAAGAGCCGGAGTTCCCCTTGGACGAGCTGAGCCGACTAGACGACATGATCAACAAACCACGGTGGGTGGTGCCGGTCCTACCCAAGGGGGAACTGGAGGTCCTGCTGGACGCCGCGATATACCTTTGCAAGAAGGGTGAGGCACCATCTTCCATCATACAACGCCTGAATAAATGTTGCTGTTGCTTTTGTAAACATTCATTTGTATTTTATGGTACTGCTTAACCAGATGTGCTAAATAACCAAGATCAAAAATGCTTGATGATTTTAGAGCCGAGGAAGACATGATTATTGAATGAAATAGAGTCGACTGATTCTTCCATGATTTGGAAACACAGAAATGTTACATATGTAATCTACTTGAGTTGTTATAGTAACAGTAATCCGTGTGCAGGAACAATTCACTAATTAGAGATCCTTCTTTTAACCTTCCTGTAACACCCCAGGCATCATTAGCCCCCTACAAAAAGTTTTTCCCACCTAACTCAATAATATTGATAACGTTGACTACTTGCCGTAGTCAGCAAGCCAGCCAGCCAACCACACGATCGAAGCAAACTTGCTTTTTGAGTGGTTAAGATACCTGCACAAGTAAGCAGGAAGTCCTGAGTTCGAATCCCACTCGAGCAAGCTTGTGGGTTTTTTGCAACTCTTATACTACACTGAGAATAAAGTGTGATTGGACACGGCGGAGTAAGGGGCCGGGCAAATCCTTGTATAAAAACACCGATATCAAAACGGGAATCTCAGAGTTTGGTTAATCAGTGTTCAGAGATCTTAATTGGGCAGTCTCTTCTAGCGGGCCCAAGGTTGTAATGAAAATTTGAATGTGTGTGTTTGTGTCCTTATACAAAGCTTCAAAATATGTCCGTTCCGTTTGGACAGGTGCTGATGTCCGCAGCGAGCCTTGCCAGCGATTTTTCCGAGATGGCCTCACAACGTCCTTCACCAAAATCCTCACAGATGAGGCCGTGAGCGGCTGGAAGTTCGAAATCCATGTGAGTAGTCTCAAGATTGTTCTTCTTACATCCAGTAAAAAAAAAGGCAGTTGAAGTAGTAAAATCTTACAGATGAGAAGACTGGTTGGTTGAATTCTTCATAATTTCAGCCAGAAATTCACGGAATGCCATGCCATACTTGCCATGCTGTCTTTGGAGTCAGGGGTTACGTCTTGCTCCTAAGAAAGTATGAATTCCTAATAGTGGAGTCTTTGATGCTGTGCTAATCTTAAAGCGTTGTGTCTTCAGCCATTTTCCGTGGAGTGTCCCAGTTTGCGCTAGCTCCACAGTTTCTTTATTTGGTTGCACAGTGAATTCAGGGCAAAGATGAAAGTACCACGTTACCAAGTCGAGCATCATCGATCAAAAAGCAGAACATGGTTGGGAAATCCTACCACATAAGTCAGAATTCATGCTTTTTCTGAGATTGCTGCTCATTGGCCCTCCTGTGAGTTGAACTGCAAACTCCCTTCACAAAACCCACTCACGTATGCAGAAAACCTGAGAGCAAGGATGAATCTAGGGGATGGAGACATTCTCTGTTATTCCCCCGAGGGTCACTGGATGAGACATCCATTAGATGAGACATCCGCCTTGAGTAGAGGCGCTCCCTCAGTGGGTGAAAAAGAGCCATGTTGGTATGGAGTATAATTTCATTATCAGAGTCATTTGTGAACCAGTGCGTCCCCAACAAAGGAGCCTCCATTGCGAGGAAAATTGGCACCCTCTGTTGGTCCCGCTCGGGGCAGATAGAGCTGTAGCTCCCATGTTCCGGTGCAGTGCCAAGGAACCAGAAGAAAGTTTTTTTCATGCAGCAGTGCGGGGTTTGCATTGATTTTCCTTTTGTAGCGGTGCATTATGAAGAACACAGACCGACTGATCGAGCTGTGTATAGTCAAGCTAGAACAGGACTGGTTTCCACTTCTTGATCTTCTCGCAATGGCCCTCAACCCTCTGTGCAAGTAAGTTAAAAAAGTTGCACCAGTAGTGTTTTTCTCCAAACAAGAGTTGTTAGTCCAGAGCTTCGGCAATTTCTTCGACTAGAAACTTTGCTTAATGCAACAACATAATAACAAGTGTTTAAGTAAGCGGTTTACGAAGTTTAAACAGGTCAACTATGAAAAACTGAGCCCCAGCCTGCCAGCCACCTTAGGATCTAACAGGGCCGTACTCATCCAACTACCGTACTTCCTCCAACTGTCTGGCTATTGGCTGATTTTGATGAACTCTCCTCATACTTGACTACATCTGGTACAGTCCCAATTGTCGTAAATATCCCTTTCTGATTAATTAGTCACACCTGTGCCTTCTCTGTTCATTGCAGGTTCCATGTTTACAATGGCACACGCCAATCAGAATCTGTCCCACAAGGGTCACAGGTAAGCATCATTCTGAAATGAAAAAGTGTTGAGATGCAATATGCGATTGGTAGAGAGTCTCGTAGTTTCTTAATCTGTTGTGTCACGTGATCTTCCCTTTTCTTACAAAAACATGAAACAGAGTAATGATACATTTGGAATGTTTTATCTGTTGCAGATAAACAGCAATGAGTTATATGCAAGGCCCCCCGATCTCAGAACACCCAAGGTGAGACCCGAATACTTGATATGAAAAATAGGGAATAGACAGAAAAAGGTTGGACCATTCTTTATCTTAACCTTAGAAGAAACTTCTGGTTTCTTGTTTAGGGGGAATTTATGGTTTGCTGTGGTTTTTGATTTCAATGTTTTTATTTTGGGCTTTTGGTCATTTGATAATCATTCTACCCCCCCCTCTACCATGGTTACAGGGCTGGCTGGTGGATCTGATCAACCGGTTTGGCTCCCTCCAAGGTTTTGACATCCTCAAGAAGCGGTTTCTGAGTGACACCCAGCCCCTAAACGTACCCATCATCCATGCTCTCATCAGGTGGGTGGGGAAAAAAGGATCAGAATAATTGTCCCCAGAAAATGTTGACTCCCAAGAATTGGCCTTTTTGCCGTCAGCTGGTAAGGTGTTTATAAGCTTAACACTAGTCCACAAGGTGTAGTAACAAAATGATTGAATGTTGTTGCATTAGACGTGGCCAAGACACATTGCAAAGTGTGTAAATGATGGTCGTCGCATTGCCAATATAAAAAAAAATGTATGTCACCCAAAGTTAAGAGACAATTTGAACGTGTTCAAAAGTCTTTTTATTTTTACGTTTTGAAGCTAATGGAAGAGATTGTTTTTCTCTCTGACATTCTCGTAGGCCATGGGGACAGTGCTATGAACTGCTGACATCACATATCATCCAGAGCCACTTCATGCCGGTCGTGGTAAGCCCGATCTTTCCTTGTCTTCTGTCCCATCGGCCGCTTGCCAAAAAAACACATCTTCGGATGCTGCAAAAAAGGTCACAGGTGTGACTTTCGTTAATAGACACCACAGCAAAACAGCACTTCTTGTGTCGGAAAGACCGCAAATCCAAATATCGTGTCCTCTTTCACCTGTCGGTTTCCTTCGGGAAGTCAATCCTCGTGTGCAAGATGCTAGCGTTACTGGGTACGATGCAGTTTATTATTTTTAAGCAATGTTATCTCGGATCGTCCTTAGGAGCGAATTGTGAGCTACTTGGACAATCTAACGGATGAGGAGTTGAAGAAAGAGTCCAAGAACGAAGCCAAAAACGACGCCCTCACCTCCATCATCAAGGTACGCCAAGATAAATTCACTAAGGAATTGGTTAATTCCTGTCAGGTGTACTCCAAATACCACCGTATTGCCATTACTTGTCTTCTGTGACGTTTTTCTCCTCTCCTTTTAAATCCTGTTTTGGTTTTTTTTGTAGTCTCTGAAGAACTTGGTATCGAGAATACCCAACCAGGAAGAAAAGATCAAAAATCTGGAGATGTTCCGCTTGAAGATGATTCTGAGGTAAGACGCGGTGGCCAGAATTTTCAAGTAAAGATTAAAATTCCACTTTCACCCCCGTTAAGGTCGGCATAACGTGAACAAAAGAAGTCAATTTTGAGCAAGGTTTCTGTGGTTTTTTGTCATCGTAGACTTCTGCAGATCTCCTCCTTCAACGGCAAGATGAACGCCTTGAATGAAGTCAACAAGGTCATAGCCAGCGTGTCGTACTACACCCACAAGCACAGCGGCATGGAGGAGGAGGAGTGGCTAACAGCGGAGAGGATGGCCGTGAGTGATCTGCTTAGCACAGACAATAAGTGCCTGGCGAAGACTAGTCTTGGCCCAAGACGCTACTGCTCAGTAATGGATTGTGCATAGCGTGACCTCCAATGACTCAATAATAAGACCAGTGCTCTTGCTAGCGCTAACATTTTGGGAGTCACGTGGGAGCAGTTTCTTTTCTATTGTTTTCTGTTTTGTCTTTCACCAGGAACTGGTCGATGATCGTGAAATGGTTTGTCAGTTGCCCAACAGTTGTGAACAGACACGCTATGTGCAGAATTCGACTGTGAAGTGTGGCGATCGAGCACGCTATTTTGATATGCAAATGCAGCGATACCCCTGTACAAGAGCATTTGCTTTTTGTTTTAGAAATGGACGAGGGGCAGTTTACAGACAACTTACCTATCAGTTGTTAACCAAATATTTCAATCACAGCGAGAAAATACAACTTTTTAATGAAGCAGCCTTTCCCCTCCCCTTCCCTCAAATAAAAAAAATCACCTTAGTGTCGACTTACTGTATCGTATCTAAAGTGCTTTCAAATTTTTGGATTCATGTCTTCAGGAATGGATTCAGGAAAACCAAGTGCTTTCAATTGTGCTGAGGGATAGTCTACATCAACCCCAGGTAAGACAAGGTCAGAGGTCAAAAGTCAAAGAACGATTCTTCCCGAAAAAAGCAATCTATCCACCCCCATGGCATGCAGTAGCACACACCTATTGACCAGTAATGGGGGCACTAGTATGTGCCTATTTGCCCTGAGGGACTATATAAGGACAACAGGGCCCTGAAAACTGGGAGAAAGAGGAACCCAAGTGCAAATCATCCGTAAGACGTGACTAAAGAGCTATGCCTGTGTTTCTTGGCCTTCAGTATGTAGAGAAGTTGGAGAAAATCCTGAGGTTCGTCATCAAGGAAAAGGCGCTGACGATGGAGGACCTAGATAATATATGGGCCGCCCAGGTAAGCAGGTCATGAACCAGAAGTCGTCAGTTTCCTTGGTAACTGTTGCCACAGTAACAAATTATTAACAGTTGTTCAAATATTGCCTATTAAAAATCTCTTGAAGTTAAAAAGCGGCGTTGCCATGGAATCTTCTTGATTGTTTTATTTTCCTAGGTTGGAAAACATGAAGCTATTGTTAAAAATGTCCACGACCTTCTTGCCAAGCTAGCCTGGGACTTCTCTCCCGAGCAGCTAGACCATCTGTTTGACTGTTTCCAGGTGAGTCAAGGCTGTCATTGTCCCCTGGGCGTAACCTGCTGAGTTTAACATCCTCATGCTACCATGAGGCTGGACCAGATTTTGCCGCGCCTGTCGTTGATCTGCCAAGTAGAAAATGTTGCTTACCCACTGTTTATGCAATCACGAATGAGCGGAGAGCCGATCTTATGTAATATACTTTGTATTGGCCTTTAGCCGGTAACCCAGTTCTGTTAAGCATGCATTTTCAGTGCCTGTATTTCAAAGCCTAATAGCTCTGTGAAATTCGCTCAGAGGACCATGGGTAGGGCTGTGGGTACCAGTGATTCTGTCCATTTCTACTCTCCAGGAGAGCTGGTCCACGGCATCCACCAAGCAGCGGGAGAAGCTACTGGAGCTGATCCGTCGCCTGGCGGAGGACGACAAAGACGGCGTGATGGCCCACAAGGTTCTCGGACTGCTATGGGCGCTGGCCCATCAGCAGGACGTGCCCACGGACATCATGGACCAGGCCCTGCACGCGCACACCAAGATCCTGGATTACAGCTGCTCCCAGGTACGGCTGGCTCCTTCACCCTCTGACCTCATGCCCTCTCCTGACTCAAATTTAATTGGGGCTGTGGCTAGGTCTAGATCTTTGCTGGCTGCAAAAACTTGAGACACATAATAACAACAGACGTAGCCGTAGCTTTGAAATCCGGTTCTGAGAAAGCCTAACATCATCGGTGTCATTGAGCTCAAGGCGAAGCTGGAATCCCAGCCATGATTTAGAAAAAGGGAATAACTTGCACTCGGACAGAGTCGACAAAGATGTTTGAAAAAGGTCACATGATTGTATATGAATGATATGTGCTTCTGCCTTTCTTATCCTTTTTGTTTTCGGCGAGCTTTTCTCTTTTTTTAATCTGCGTGTATTTTTGTTGATCCAGGACCGAGATGCCCAGAAAATTCGCTGGATTGACCGATTTGTGGAGGAACTGCGGACAGACAAGTGGGTCATCCCGGCCTTGAAGCAGATCAAGGAAATCTGTTGTCTGTTTGGAGAGGTGGGCGTCTGTTTGTTTGTTTGTTTTTTTTCCTCCGTGCGTCCTTTTGGGAAAAAATTGTAACACTGTTACATCAAAATCTCGAAGAAAAAAAATGGAAGTGTAAAAAAAAAACAGTATTCCTGAGTTTCTGCTTATTTATGAGCAGTTGAAATTATTTTTTCTGATGGTGTTTCTTTTTAATTGTGCAGCGCACTAGTCAACTCAACCAGGTACGTTTTGATTGAGACAGTATGTGGCCCGTATTCAGAACATGAAAATGAAACAGTTCTGTTATAATTGGTCTTAAAAGTGCATATCTCTCGATCAAACGTTTTGAACTTGAAAACGTTCTCCAAAATTGTGAAAACATGCATCCAACTTGCACCAACGGTGCTTTATTCACAACAGCAGCTCTTTTTGGTTCTGTTCAGACACATTAAAGTTCCAGAACTTTAGTAGTCATGCAGCCTTACTTGAAGTTTGTGAAAACAGGCCACAGCACTGCACTTTTCCCAGCTCATGTATCCCCAAGACTTGGGCACTAAGATCCCAATTTGCTTTCACTGGGCTGCTAAGTTTGAAAGTAGTTGCGAACTGAATGCGTATTACCGGTTTTGAAAATGTCCCGTGTGTCATGCTCGCCAGAGTGTATTACTTCGTAGAGTTGGTATTTATCGACAGGTCACCTCAGAAGCTGCATCACCATGCTGTCTTTTGTGACTTTTACTTTTTCAAATCTGTTCACATTTGTGAAAGTGGGTCAGTTGAGGCAAAGTGCTTTTTCATGTAAATTCACAATGCATACATAAAGAGAGAAATCAAATGGAATGTTTTGTTCCGGATGCTACGTTACTTGCTGGATCTAGTTTTTTTTGTTTTCCTTCGAAAGTAGATAGTTCTCCAAAGCCAAGATGTTCATTTCCTTGTTTGGTTGAAGCGTGACGGACAGGACATGAGTGGAACCTATCCCTTGGAATAAGCGGTGTTGAAGTTTTTCCTCCGAAATGTATTCCCTCTGCCATTTGGCCCAATCAGTAGTGGTCTTAGTTTGGCCCGTCTTTTGTTCCTGTTTTCTGGCAAATTTTCTGTTTTGAGTGACCAGGCAGCATGAGCTAGAGGGGTGAATACTGGATCCGAGTTTGCAGTTCTCATTCAGATTTAAGAATGTCTATTAATTGTTTTTTGCCCTCTCATTTTAGTGCTCATGAATTTCTATTTTTTTGTCTGCCTTTAAGCATTTTTGTGCTGGCATGTTTGATTTGGTGTGGCAAATCTATTTAGAAACTTGCCTCTAAATTGACGTAGCGACATTTCGTCACCGTTTTCATGAAGTGACGCTAATGTGGCTTTTGAGAAAAAAACAGGTTTTCGAGATAATCGCCAGGGAAGTTTTTCCTTTGTAAAAACTACCACAGTAAGTGATTTGTGACAACTTCATGTAACAAAAATCCTGTAAATGATTCACTGATGTGTAATCATTCACTTAACCCGAGAAATTAGTATGAAAAGGGGTCAATTAGCCCAAAGTAATTAGCAAAAGTTAACGTCACTTCGTTAAAACGAAAATCCCGGTTGAAGTACTTTTCGGCCCTTTCCTTGCAATATGTTTTGTCTATGTTCAAATGATATTACGCATTGCATCTCTTCGGGAAAACACAAAATGCTGTTTTCAAAATGTTTGCCCTCGGCAACATTAATGTAACTATGACATTAATGAGATTTTGTTTGTGGGAGCATGTCCAAATGGTCAAGCACGGTGTTGTAAAAGAGAGTATTAAAAAAAATGGAAATTGACGAAAATTCATTTTTTAGACATGAGCGTCACTTCATGAGAACAGTGACAATTTGTAAATGATCAGTTTTACAAATGCCATTATGGAGGATTCTTTTCATATGGCTAATTCCACAGCATGGTTCCATTCTTCATCTGTCTGTCACCAACAACCAAAGAACAGCGGGCTCATGGGCTGCTTTATTCAATCAGTGTGTTCCAGAAACTTTGGTAGAACGCTTACCATCCATATTTTGAAGTGCGGTCTTTGCAAAACTTTGAGCAGGACAGACATTATGTTTATCCTGATGGAATTGGCCAAAATTGAATGTTGAATTTGCATGTGTGTCAAATTTTATGTAAATTTTCTTGGTCTCTTTCTTCCCATCGCCTGGGCATTGTGGGTACTTCCGTTACAACAATCAACAAGTGTTTGCCTGTTTATTGCCTATTAACCGCTGTACTTTTGCACTCGCGTTTAAGACAAGAATATTGTGGGACTGGATTTAAACCCTTCGCAGGGGGAGCCGTCCACAGCTGTGGCTTTGTGTGAGGATTAGTGCATACCACACATACAGTCTATTCACCATGCAGCTGCTGGTTCAATGGGGCCTGCTGCTGGACAAAGCCCTCCATTCAGGGCATACCACAGCCCAGCAGTCGCCGCCGTCAAAAGAATCCCGGCATTAAAGGCCTAATTCAATTTGAGAACTTTCCAAAAATTGCAGAGCATCAACTCCGTGTCATTTTTTAGTCCGTAATGTCTCGCACATTGCCAAGTGTCCAATTAGAAAAGAGTTTCTTGGGTTCGTTGGTTTCTCACACAGGCTCCGCAGAACTACACTCATGCCCAGCGCTGCCCCCACGTGCAGTACCGCCACGACGTCATCAACATGCTGCAGCAAAAGCACTCCCTAGTCACCCTGGTGGCGGAGAATCTCTCCAGCTACATGAACCAGGCCAGGCAGATAGCCAAAGGTACGACACAAGGGGGACACGTTCTCTTAAGAAAAAGGAAATGGAAGTTGTACTCCCGAGCTTTGCTTTTACAACTCTGTTTTTAACCCTTGAATGGACAGCTATGCCGAAAATTATTTTTTTTCTGGTGATATTTCCCTATTTCTACCCAGAAAATCCAGATCTTGACCCTCATGATGTCACCTCGGAGAATAGATACAGCCATGTACAGCAAGTCCAAGAGCGACTCAACTTCCTAAGGTAACGGCTTTCTAAAGTTGGGCAAACCCTGTCATTTAAACCGAACATCTCTTCTTGAAAATGAATATCTCCCAGATAAAAGCATCTCGATAAAAGCTCTCTGAAGTCTGCAAGTCCCTGGGTGCTTGCAGTACCCAGGTATGGTTCTACCTAGCTTGATCCTGTGCGATGGCACCAAACCAGAAATCGGCCATGACATGTTAATTAGAGCTCTGCCAGCTGGTATCTGCCTCGAGCAGAAGCACACCTTCGTCGGTTGAAAAGAGCTACATTGGTCAGGAGCATTCATTTTGTTACTAGCGATGGTACGGCAATGCTTGCATAAATTTCTTAATTGTTCGGAAACCAGCGATGTGCCGTTAGTACCAGAGGAGCCTTCGTTGCTAAGGAAATAGCGCCCTCTCTTGTTCCAGGTTGAGGCCCATTCACAGATACAGGAGCTGCCCCAGCCAAAGAGCTGAGGTTTTCAACTGTATTAAAGTGTTCAGGTACTTGACCTTGATTTCTGCGTCCAATTATGCAGTAATTTCTTGTTTTGTGGGCTTTTTTTCTATTTACCAGATTTCTGTTGAAAGATGGACAACTATGGCTCTGTGCACCTCAGGCAAAACAGGTCAGTAAATATGACCGATCTTGCATTCGTTAGAAAGTTGTGAAACCGATTTCAACTTGTTCCAATATTTTCCACTGTTGCTGGAGTCCGAGTGGCTTTTTTTTATGTTGTGACTGTAAAATGGATTCCCTCTCTCCACCGCGCAGATCTGGAATTGTCTTGCAGAGAACTCCGTGTATGTCAGTGACAGAGAAGCCTGCTTCAAGTGGTTTTCCAAGGTAAATTTGTAGAAGTGAATCTGCTTGCCCTGAAGAAGGTACTCAGTTACCGAAAGCTCGGCAATCACATATTTCACAGCACTGTTTGATATTTTATTTTCGTCAAAATTTGTTACTCGTTTTGTTGATTTTTTATTCAGATAATAAGCATTGGTCTTTGTAAAGCTTTCATTGAGCCAGATTGGAAATTAGCTTGAAGTCATCAGCATGGACAATTAGGACACACATGCCGTTTATCCATTTATTTATCTCATCCAAAATGGCTTCATGAGTACTTCAGCTCTGCTGTTTCTCACATTCTAGCTCTTTTAAGATTTTTCGGGGTTTTTTGGATGCTGTTTTACTTACCTCCGCGGATTGCTCCCTTCTTGCCTTCAGTTGATGGGAGACGAACCAGACCTAGACCCGGAGATCAACAAGGACTTCTTTGAAAACAACATCCTGCAGCTGGAGCCCTCGCTGCTTACTGAGAACGGCATCAAGTAAGAACAAAACATGTTCATGTCAGGAGAGTCCTTTCCTAAATTTCACTGTGACCACGGAAATCTATGTTGTTGCCCACTTTATGCACAGTAGCGTTTTGCCTAGTCCTTGAGATTTTTATAGGAGAGATGTGTTGATACTCTTAACTTTCAATCAGTGTGCTAAGAACGTCATGTTTATAGCTCCTTGAGAAAGATTACCACCTGAAAACATGGCAAAACTTATTAGGTCAGTTTTCCGCTACGTCAAAAAAGAGACATGTGAAACGAGTTCAAGTGCATTCTGTAAAATATTCAAGTGGAAATGGTCCTTAGAACTCATTTTTTTGGGGGGGGATCAAGTTACATTTGTGTAAAGTAAGATTTTCCGGTGTTCTCACGTCAGACCGGCTGAGTTGAGTGTTCTGTTTGTCCTTGCTGCCCAGGTGCTTTGACCGGTTCTTCAAGGCGGTCAACTCCAAGGAAGGCAAGCTGGTGCCCAAGCGCCGCAACTACCTGATGGACGACCTGGAGCTGATTGGCCAGGACTACCTGTGGCGGGTGGTACTGTGCGGCTCGGACGAGATCGCCAACCGGGCCATTGACTTGCTGAAGGAGATTAACACCAACCTGGGGCCCCGGCTGCAAGCCAACCAGGTCAGTACGGTGGGGGGGGGAGCTGCGCAAGCTCTGGAAGCTTTGGGGTTTTCCCACGGACGTATGTAATACCTGGACTTGCAACGCCTTTGTATGAAGAAGAAGCCAACCAGCGGCCATTTTACCGAGCCGAATTCAAAAGCGTGGGTCGGCTCCCTTCTATTGACGTCAGGAAGAACAAAGGCGGGCATTGTCAGGAAAGCTTTGTATTCGGCTCGGTAAAATGGCCGCGAGTGGATTCAATGACTAGTATAAGCTGATTAAGGGCATTGCGAGTCCAGATTTTATTATACACGTCCGTGGCTTTTCCCCCCAAAAAAATCACCAGCTCAGGCTTTGTATCCGAAACTGAAAGCACTTGTAGAGTTGCAGTGGTTGAACTTAATGAAGATATGTCTATCTGTGGGTCAACAGTGCACAGTTAAATGCTTCTCCTGCAAAATGTGACTTTTTGTTGAGCCTCGTAATGAGGTATAACCAGAAATGGCACTGAAACCGAGATTTGAAAAAAAAACAATTGAATTTTCATAATTTCCCTTTGGAACAATACATTTTTAAAATGTGAGGCATTCTGGTCTCCCAAAAAGAAGTGGCCTGAAGCATTCCAGTCTGGAAAACATTGTTTCCCTAAAACGCCAAGTGATTCCAAATCGTACCTGGTTGGATTAGGGTGTACTCAGAATTTCAGGTGAGTTCATGTAGTGACTAATGTTACAATGTGTTACACCGTGATCAATTTTGAAAACCCTTCATCAGCTCGTCTTGTCAGTCCTCAAAATATGTCTTTGTTGTGTTTCACAATTTTGCCTTCTTCCTCCTTTTCTCTGGGTTGGTCTATAATGGCTCCCCCTACCTCCGAAAAAAAAGAAAAGAATAGATTTTCTGTTCTGAATCTTGAGTGTTTTTGTGTTGTTTTAGAGCACCTCCACTGGAGAAATCCCTCACTCCAGGCAATTCCTGATCTTGTGCGGATTTATTTCCCCTCTGACCAGGTGGACATCCACGAGGACTTCATCCAGTCCTGCATGGACCGGCTCAAGGCCATGTACGACACGCTGCGCATCCTGCAGGAGGACAAGGACGGGCCGGACAAGGTCCAGCAGGAAGCCGTGCGCATGACCCGCGTCCTGACGGTGCTGAGGGAGTACATCAGCGAGTACGACCTGGAGTACACGGAGGAAAGGACCATCTTACCCATGGCCAGGTGGGGCGGAGTTGGGGAGCTGTGGGTGTGGGAGGGGGGCAAGAAGAAGGCGGGGCTTGATTCTAAGGGGGAGAGGTATTGCTCAGAAATGACTTGGAATACATGGCGAGAAGGTGGGTGGAGTTTGGAAGTTTTGAGGGGGGGTAACCGGACTTGACATGTGTGGTGGTGTATGCCATGGCCCATTGTTCGACTGACAAAAATCCAAATTGCTTGGCACAGGCTAGCACACTTTCCAGTCCCTCATGTCTGTTGATTTCAAGGTGCTACATGCAGTTACACTTTGGGGATTTTATCTTGTACTTTCAGAGCACACCGAGGCAAGCACGTCACGTTACTAGTGCGATTTCCCAACCAGGGTCGTCAGGTAGAGGACATTGATATCTGGTCTCACACCAATGAATCGCTGGCGTCCGTCCGCAGACAGATTCTACAGAGGTAGGCCCGTCAAGAGTCCATGGATACAAGTTCGGTAGACAGGTCCGAGTACAAAAGCATTTCACTCCCACATGACAGTGATGATGGAGTACATTGGGTGTGTTTGTCTCACATGGATCGGGGTCTCCATCAGTGATCCTAACGCTGGTTCACACCATCCACTATGCAGGTTTTGGTGTCCGTAAACCAATGAAGGATCACTGATCACAGCCATTGTGGTAGTTATTATTGAAAAATTATCAAGAGCCTGTTATTTTAAACAATAGTCGGCAGAATGTGTTGTCCATCACTGGGGGCCTGCTTGGTCAGCAGTGCATACAACTTCTCGTAATAGACATGTTTGCACTGTTGTATTCTTTGTTGAATTCCAGAGTCAAAGCTAATACGGCTACCACCAGGGTGGACCTGTACGTCAACGGAGAGCTACTAGATCCAACTGAGGACCGGAGGCTGGTGGGAAAGATCCCCCTCCGAGACAAGACTGTGAGTTTGTCTTCCAAGATTTGTAACAATGCTCTCTTTAAACTCTGTAGACCATTTTGTTTTGCGTCAGTTATTGTAACCAACTCCATCACGAGTCCTTAAGTTAGTTCCCCAGTCAATCACAATTAAAGCCACATGTCATGATAAGGAACTCCTTTGCTGCAGTTCATTTGAATGGGTTAGAATTGATCTGACGTTTGAGGACTTATGAGGACTTGTTATGGGCTTGTGAGGACTTCTGATTGACTTCTAAGGACTTTTGATGTGCTTATGAAGACTTCTTGTCTGCATGTGAGGACCACAGCTGTTGTTTACAGTATTCTTTGCTTGGTTTGGGGTTTCTGCAGTTGATCACTGCCAAGCTCTGCCCAGTGGGGACCAACATGCCCTCCTCTCCGGACAGTTCCTCCGATTCGTCCACCGGCTCCCCGCACCACCCCAGCGAGGGACCCAACCTTGAGGCCGAAAAATGCCTACCAGGAGTGGTAAGGGAATCCAGGGAATCAACTGCGAATCAACATGTCATGAATTGTTCAAAGTTCAAAGGATGGTCATTTTAGTGCATTATTCATGCTACAAAGCTTGGGCTTTGTGCACATTTTGTTGAAAATTGAGTCGCATCTAAACTGGCTTACTGTGGCTAGAAGTAACAAGTGCATCTATTGAAGCCAGTAGCTAGTGGCAGCAGCCACATGCCATAGACGCAGTAGGATTTCAAGTCTGATCTCATTGATAAAATTTCTCCTCCGTACTCTGCTCCGTAGCTCATGTCCACCCAGCACAAGTACGCCGACTTCATCTTTCACCTGGCCGACATGGGCTGCTCTCTGGAGATCAGCCCTCTACGGGACGGTGCCAGGGCACTCTTGAAAATCATCCCCGCTGGTAAGAGCCCAAGCGCTCCTGTCATTTTCAACATTGATATCGGTTAATCCTAGATGTGAATTGATGAAAGTTAAAAACAAAAAATAAGTCGCTGGGTCCTCACGTTTGGAATCCTGACGAGTCCTACAGAGAATATTTCAGAGAAATGATCCACACAGTCTGCCTTGGAATGAAGCCTAATACACGTCAGTTTTGATGGGAATCGAACCTTGGTCACAGAAGTAGAAGGCGGCAAAATTGTCTCAAAATTTAAAAAACTTTTAAGACATTTTAGCAACGCTCAGTTAATATGTCTAGAAGTCATATCCGATCCGCACCATCACTCCACTTGTAAGAAAGCCTTCTGTAATTTCCAATCCTGAAATATTCTGTCCGCACAGACACCTCCACGGTGGACATGCTGGCGGAGGTCTGCAGGAACAGCACCAAGCTCGGGGATCAGTCGCCCTCACCATCTCTAGAATCCCTCTTCTTCGGTTCCTCCCAATCGCAAGTACTGTACCACCTAGAGGTAAGATCTGTCTCTCCAAACGTGACAAGTGTCAAATTGCAAAGAAGTAGAGCTCTGCAAAACAGAGGAGTGTTACTTTCTTTAAACTCTATGGCTGGGATGCAGATACCCACAAACAGTAATTTTCGGATAACCGGTTACCCCGATACCCGTAAATGCACAGCCTTAATGTGTATTGTCTTTGTCACTCTGGCAGGTCCTGTATGCACTACTGATGCCGGCCAACAATCCTCATGGAGAAGCAGCGTTCGAGTTCCAGGTGAGGAATGTTCCCCATAAAATGAGAGGGAGCTTTTCGGAATCCAAGTTCTGACCGGGAAAGGTTATTCTGCTCCTCTGTCAGCTTGCATCTCTAAAAGTCTGTTTTTGATGCTGGTTATTGGTACTTTGTCTCTCTTTTTTGTCACCATCTTTCCCCGACACAAAAGTTACGTCATCAACAAGTATTTATGGCGGTGTGTTTTCTCGTTTTTTTTGCAGTACAATTTCTTAAAGAGTGGTGGTGTGATGTGTGTCATGAACATGCTGACCAAGAACAACTTTCTTCCAAATGCTGACACAGACACACGAAGGTGAGGCTTCTTGAACCATTCCGCTGTTCGTGATTTGACAGAGTGGTGTAATATTTGTATATTGACCGGTATCGAGGGCAGTAGTTCACAACTATTTGCCCTTAGGGAGCATAAGTGATAGTGAAAGGGCTCTACTGGGAAATGGACTTCTTGGTCACAAATGAATAACATCCGGCAACGGCTGTGAAAGAATGTCAAATCCTTCCCGTAATACCTTGCATCTTTTCTGCACTCTGATTGGCTGAAGTGAATTTTGCAATCGTTTTCCACCTCTCCGCAGGCTTGCACTTCAGGTGGTCTTAAAGATCGCCAAGCTGATGCTGACCACAGTGGGCTACGCCAAGATCGCTTTCGTCGCAGATGCCTGCCAGCAGCAACAACAGCAGCAGCAGTCACCGGACGCCGCGGGCTCCCAGTCCCAACAGCAGCAGCACCCGCAGGTCTCGGCCACCGTCCACAACCAGGCTGTGGTGCTGCAGCACGCCATGCAGCACATCCCCAGCCCCAACGCCGAGTGCGTGCTGCGGAACGTGGCCGTCCGGCTGGGCAGGCATGCGGCCGAAGGGGTGGGTAGCTTCTCTCAAATCCTTGCCACTTTTTTGCAAGTTACCAAGCACAGTCTGTTGGACGTTTTCTTGAAAGCAGGACTTAATCCTTCATTTGGACTGATCCCCCCCCTCCCCATGCAGGCGAAAGTGGACTCTCCGGATCTGAGTGTTGTCAAAGCAGTGCAGAAGATAGCCTGGTCAGCAGGATGTGGCTGTCTACATCTATTGCACAGCTCCAATGAGGAGGTTCACAAAGGCTATGAAAAGGTAGGACCTGATAGTACAACGTCAGATATCTACATTTTCCAAGCCCATTCCACTCTCTCTGCGTTTCACCAAATCATCAGTTTGAATTACCCCTTTCCTTGATGGTTTCCCCCCCCCCCACCGAACTGTCTCAATTTCTTTTATATCGTCCAGGACAACGCCCGAATTCCAGAGGGGGAGGACGTGGCCCTGTGCCGCGAAGCCCTGGAGGTGCTGTCGGTCTGCCTGGCCCTGTGCCCGGCCGCCCTGGACGCCCTGAACAAGGACAAGCCCTGGCAGTGCTTCATCGTGGACCTGCTGCTCCTGGCCAAGAGCCGGCCGGTTCGCATGGCCGCCATGGACCAGTTCCTGCTGATGGCCACCAAGTGCTCCAGCGGCCAGCGGCCCATGTTTTTCTTCATCACCCTGTGCTTCACCGTTCTACCGGTAAGAGCCCAAACAAATGTCTCTGTCCAAAACTGCCCCCTTGCTGTTCACTTCATTGCTTCAAAACCACTTGAACTTGGATTTTGTAGTGAACAGAGGACGAGATGGAGTCAGACCTCATTCACAAGAGGTTCTGTGGACTTTGCAGATCGTTTTGTTGTAACGGGGAACCTTGTATGATGGGGAATGGAAACAGTGCAGAACAAAGGAGTGGGACTAAACAATGGCCTTGTTACAAGGAGAAGATTGTCATTAATTGTGATCTTATTAACGAGTTTCGACTGTAGTTTGAACGTGGAGTACTTGTCGGCCAACCATTCTATTATGTCAAATTGGACTCCTGAAAGTCTGCAAATTGGCAAGGATTGAAGTTAATTGGAGTTTGGCACGATGTCTGGCCGACCCATGCTATATCAGCATCTTGAGACATAGCAGATCAGAACTTGACACACATTGTAAACATCCCATGTCACAATATTGCTTGTTCGAAGAACTTGATACTTTGGCGTTCAGTAAATAGTAGGTCAAGAGTGGACAATGTCAAAATACTTTTCTGTGTCCGGTTTCTCCCATGGACAAATTTTGATGAATAACTTAGTAACGGATCTTACCCACAATTATTTGAATTCTCACCAGCAGAGCACAGCCAAGGAGCACTCCAAGCACTGCTCCGAGTACTTCTCTCTCCTCTGTCGCCTGCTCAACTACGCCTTTGCCACCAGCACTGCCATGCCCAATGCCGAGATCCTGCTCAACAACGAGATTGACTGGATCAAGAAAATCAGGGTAAGAAGACGGGGGACGGCAGTACCGCCAGCTTCCCCGAAGACAGAGCTCTTGAGGATTGACCCGGGAAGTTCCTAGTCTGTTCCCAGTCATCGTTTTTCACTTTGCTTTTGTTAAATGTTGGAGCGTGTAGTCGTGTGTACAGCATGTGAGATTAGAAAGCATCTACAGAAATAACCGCCGGTTAGATTTGAATCAATGACGGATTTAAAATTTACATTTTCAGTTTAAGAAGTGTTTGATTTGGACGATTGGAAATGGCAGATACTGCATCGTTACAGCCCAGGGAAATCACTGCCTTTAGCAAATACCTACCACGATCAGGAAAACACTGCTACAGCCAGAGCTGTGCTTCAGCGGATGTTCTACCTTAGGCATTAAAGGGCGCCCTCCTTGAGTGGCGTCAGCGGTAACCGACTGTCGTTCCTGTGTTATTTGTCAGGACCTGGTGCTGAGTACCGGTGAGAATTACTGCGAGGAGGGGCTCCTGGAGGGCCACCTGGGCATCACCAAGGAGCTGCTGGCATTCATGCTGTCAGAGAAGAAGTACCAAGTTGGCTCCAAGAAGGACGGCTGCCAACTCATCAAGGTAAGACGGGGACTCGGACATGCGGGCTTTGACCCTCTGTAGGTCTCTCTCAAATGACGTTGCGTTCTACAGATTGCCACGTTGCATCTGCTATTTTGACGTCAAATTGTTGTGACACACTGGGACTGCACTGTGTTTTGAAGATATTTAAATCAACACGCCTGTGTGAAAAACATTTGCACCCTGCGGGCACACGCGCCTGATGTCGTTGAATATACAGTTGTTATTTTCCTACAAAGATGGTATCTGATGAAAGAGATATTTATTGAGCCAGGGAAGCCCTGCCGGTTACCAAAGAGCTTTCTCCCTCTGGGCTTTGTGGCAGAAGACAGTGAAGGAATGCGTAGTTTTAGAAATTAGAGGAACACTCCCGATAAGCCTTCTGGGGGAACCCCTGGAATCAGGTAGGGACAGAAAACCTGATCCACATATCGGCCTGGGTGGGATTCGAACCCGGGTCACAGATGTGAAAAATGCAGGACCTACCACTTGTACAAACCTAAATCCCCGAAGAAGTGTTACACGTTGCTTTCCTGTGGTGAAATTCTTGGCATGCTTGATGACAATTTGTCTGCAGGAGCTCATGGAAGACTTCCTGTTTCCGGCCTCCAAGATCTTTGTGGAGACCCGCAAGAACGGGGCCGAGACCCCGCTGGACCCCATCCGGCCAATCTGCTTCACTCCGCCCACCACCAACGCAGCGTTTGACCTCCTGGTGGCGCTCTGCAACAACTGCGTGCCCAACCTGCGCATGGTGGCCGACACGCTGACGGACATGTACTACTCAGGTAGGTAATCCCGGGAAAGACCAACCTCCCCTTTTTTTCTTTTTTTTTTCTGTGATTGGTTTTTAAGCTTCACCACGAGGCAAATTTGTAATCAAGTTCCCCGAATTTAGCAAACGTTGACACTGTGAAGACAGCCAGTGTCACATTACTTTAAGCTGAACAGAACTTGAAGAAAGACTCTTGGAAAGGAAGACTGGCTGGTCAGTACAATCCCAAAGCCCTGCATCGACAGTCTCCACGGTTTCACATTGTTTTGGAACATTCTCAGCCAGAAGCCACGAAACGTTCAACAGGCCTTGGAATAGACTTATCCAAAATTGAAGCACAAGCTTATGTTTTGCAGATGGTTGAAGCAACTCATGCGTCTCTGTTCCTTCTTATTTATCAGGCACGGAGGCCCCACTAACAGAGTGGGAATACCTACCTCCAGTCGGCCCACGACCGAACAATGGGTATGTTGGATTGAAGAACGCGGGAGCTACTTGCTACATGAACTCCGTACTCCAACAGGTATGGGTGCAAAGCTGGCTTCAGAAAACTTTCTTTGTAGTTACAGATTTTCAGCTCTTACACGCAACTTGAAAGATTTTTACTCTGAAATTCTCTACTTATATAGTTGAAGAGTTGTTAACTTTTAAAAAAATTGTTCAGAGCACAAACAGTGTCTCGGAACTCGATCAACATCAGACCGGGATTTTTTTATCCCTTTTTCACACCCCAAAATGTCAATCTTTTACAGCTGTACATGGTACCCGATATCCGATTGGCCATTCTCGCTTCGGAGGGCGGAGCCACAGACGGCGATGACGACTTTTCTGGCGATGAGAAACAGGACACAGAGGTGAGGAGCCCACCCACTGGAAATGGAACGGCCTTGTTGTACATTCAAGTCCAATGAGACATTTTTTGCAGCTGTTTCATCGAACTAAATTTGGAAAAAGATCTCAAATCAATGGAAGTGTGCCCCGCATGGTTTTAATAAAAAAAGGTTGACATCCCACACTGTTACGTAATGGTCACACACGGCTCTAAAATCATCATAGCGTCCAGGCTGTCTGAACCAGATTTTGCCTTTCGTTCTCTTCTGGTCACTACACGGGATGCCAAAAACGTTTGAAAAAGCAGTTCTGTTTGTCGATTTTCACGGACCCCCGTTTCACTGAATGTCAGAGTCTTCACAGCACTGTCGCCTGCATAGTGCGTTGCTGGACCATTAATCAGAAGTAGGCCTTTAACCCTAACACCCCTAAGTCCTCCAACAGGTGAAGGATTGAGGAGGGTTTGGGTTAATGTGGGTGCACCGTATTGCAAATTTTATGCCTCTCTGCACTTATGACGCAGACAACAAAATTTCCCGTTCTTATTTAATGCCCAAATTTGGTTTTGAACAGACCAATATCGACGTCGGGGATTCGGAGCACGGCGGAAGTCCGGAGGGTCAGACCAACTTGACCAAGCAGGAGGAGAGGAAGGAGTACAACCTCTGTCTCCTGAAGCAGGTCCAGGCCATCTTCGGTCACCTCTCGGAGAGCAAGCTCCAGTACTACATCCCCAGGGGCTTCTGGAAGCACTTCAAGTGAGTAATCGGAGGGGGCTGTGGCCAGGAGGGGGGACATTTTGGATCAAATAGCCACTGACCGTCTTTTAGTCCTCTCTTAAAGGGAGAAATCCTGGTCAGGTCACATCTTGGGAGCTTTCTAGGCATTTAAAATAAGAGGTCTGAGTTTTGATGTGGTTTCCTTGATCTTTTGTGGGGCCCTTTGATCTAACTAGTGGCTTTTAGGAGGTATATTTCAACTGTAGGCTGTATGTCTGACACCTGTCTTCTCTCGGAGAACATGCTGACATCTGAAGTTGAGTAATTGGTGAAAACACACGAACAAAACTCAACGGACCCATGATGCCAACCAATGGCGAAGCAGCGGTCATTTTTACGGCTGCGCCTGGTGGTCCCAGAGCAAGAAGGAAGAAACTCGGTCGATTTTTCATATCGGGTTTCTTTTGTCGTCATCACAGGCTTTGGGGGGAGCCAGTCAACCTCAGAGAGCAGCATGACGCGCTGGAATTCTTCAACAGTCTGGTGGACAGCCTGGACGATGCACTCAAGGCCTTTGGAGCCAACGCTGTCTTTGCCAAAGTGATGGGCGGTTCTTTTGCAGACCAGAAAATCTGTAAAGATTGCCCGCACAGGTGGGTCCATTCTTTCCACGTACCTTCCGCAGTTGTGCATCCGCCAGTAATCTCTAAAAATAACAGAAATAACACATCTTGTGTAAAGTGCAATATAAGTTGAGATTCCTCAAAGTGTTTAACAATGAAACAAAACACAATAGAGGCTTTGCATGGTAGCCATCTTGCAGGGCAGTTCTTTTGTTCCACTGGGAAACCTCCTTTGTGCATACCCTGTGGAACAAAAGCACTGGCCTGCAAGATGGCAGCCATGCAAACTCCCTACAGGAACAATCCCAATTAGTCTTGGAAGGGCTTGGTCAAATGCCACATTAAACAGAAAGTTTTTCTAGGTTTCTTTTGTTCCTTGTCACCCGAAATTCTCATCTTTTTTATTTGGACGGAGCAGGTATTCCCGCGAGGAGTCTTTCACCACCCTGAACGTGGATATCCGCAATCACCAGAACCTCATTGACTCCCTAGAGCAGTACGTCAAGGGGGACCTGCTCGAGGGCGCCAACGCCTACCACTGCGAGAAATGCAACAAAAAGGTTAGCTTGTCTGAGCCCGTCCAGACTCGCGATTCCCACACACTCCCACGACACTTTCAGTTACGATCAAAGCGTTGGGCCTACTGTTCAACAGTATTCAGCCCCCTCCCCCCGAAATGGATCGCGTTTAAAGTGGAAATACCATGTGACCTTACGTCTTATGCTTGTATCATTTTTTTACTGCCTTGTATATTATTTTGAAGCAATCTCTAGAAAAAGTGAACTGGACTTCCCTTTCAATCCCCAAAATGCCATGTGGCATACTTCATTGGAGCAGTTTCCTCTTCTAGCTGGGGGCTAGCTCAACCCGTTGCACAAAATTGTTCCTTTAATTCTTCTAGTCAGGGTTTTCCTGGTCAGGGTTGTACTGATTTCGTTTGAGTTTCCCCGCAAGTTTGACACGGACCCGTACACCGTGGGGAGTCAGGGTTGGCAAGGTAGTTCTTTCCTCACCTTCCACCTCTGTGGTCCCGGGTTCGATACTCGGCCCGGTCCTCATGTGGATTGGGTTTTCAGTCCCTACCTGACTCCGTGGGTTTTACCCAGAATATTCCTCTGGGGTTTTCCTCCCACCTCTAAAACTGTAACTGCTTCTTACTGTCTTCCCTTTACCGATGTTGGTGAATGTGGGTCGTTTGGCGGCTGCCCGAGGAGCCCTTGTATGCCATCGGCTCAACCATGTTTAAAATGTATTCATTGTTCCACACTTCATTGTACAGCGCATTGGAACATATTTGCTTGAAATTTGCACTTTGTAAATGAATAAATTATTATTATTATTATTTCCTAAATATTTCTGTAGGTTGATACGGTCAAAAGGTTGTGCATTAAGAAGCTACCTAGTGTGTTAGCAATCCAGCTGAAACGGTTTGACTACGACTGGGAAAGGTGAGTATCTACAAACGATGAGTGGTAGAGGAAGAGTTCATCTGAACAGCGTTAGGATTGGAGTCATGGCTACAGGTACATAGGATTTGTGGCTCATTTCCTTTCTTTTTGACATTTCAGGGAGTGTGCAATAAAATTCAACGACTATTTTGAGTTTCCCCGCGAGTTCGACATGGACCCGTACACCGTGGCTGGACTCGCCAAAATTGAGGGTAAGCAGCCCAAACCCCCTAGAAAACCTGTAAAATCTCAGGCCAAGAGTTGCAACTGAAGTTTCGAGGCAGCGGGATATCATAAACATTCTAGTGTTGTGGTCAAGTCCGTTGCTAGTCCCTCAACCTCCATATTAACAAGTCCATCTCAGGTCAGCCAGTCTTGAGCTGGGCTCAAGCTAGTCGGGTGACCCGCGATCGAAGCATTCCCCAGTCACCGTTCATCCAACCGGTCGTGTCACTGGACTCAGCTACAGTACCGATCCATTCTCGGTCTCAGACGTTCCCTTGTTTCCATTCCTGTGGCATCTCTCAATGAACAGGTCAAGTGATCCACGACGAACGGGAGAGCAGCGATGAGAACGAAGAGGAGACGCCCCGCAGCACCAGGTACCGGCTGGTGGGCGTGGTGGTGCACAGCGGGCAGGCCAGCGGCGGCCACTACTACTCCTACATCCTGCAGAGGTGAGCCCAGCCACTGTCTGCGAAGCTTAGCCTACGCAGAGATCAGAGCATCTCACTGTAGGAACAATCGTATGATTGCGTTCTGGACGAGCAACGTTCCGAGCACAGTGCACCAAGCCTAATAAAGTCTGAGGCATTTAATCCGCTCTAAAAGGAACGAATGGGTTCAACAGGAAATGGTCTAAATATCCCTCACGTTGTCGTTAATTTGAAAATTTTCACTGCCAGGCATCCTTGTTGTGCATAAAACCAATCAGAAGTTTTCACTTCTTACATGACAGGAATGACAGTAATGGGAAATGGTATAAGTTCGACGACGGGGAAGTGACGGAGTGTCGTATGGACGACGATGAGGTAGGCCGACAAGTTGAACAATTATTCTGTGAGTTAAAAAAAAAATTGTCTTTTTTCAGTGTCCAGAGAGAGAGAGAGATTCAAATTTAGGACGTGAGTGTTTCGAGAACATAGCCAAAGATACAGGAATTCGGTCGTTCTTTCTTCGACAGGAAATGAAGAACCAGTGCTTCGGAGGAGAGTACATGGGAGAAGTCTTTGATCACATGCTCAAGAGGTAACACCATCAAACTCCAACAGTTTGTATTTTCGCAGCTAACGATGAAAACACAAAGCGTGAATGAGTAACAAATAGTCAAAATAGGCCCGCGTGCTGATGATGTTACCGAATCGTCATTTGTGGTTTCTTCTCTTTTGGATATTACCCAGGATGTCTTACAGGAGACAGAAGCGCTGGTGGAATGCCTACATCCTGTTCTATGAGCGCATGGATCCACCAAAGAAAGATTTGGAAAAGTCCATTGAGAACCTTACCATCAGTAAGTCCATGATTCCATTGATCAATAAGCCGGAACTCCATGGGTTGTATACCTAAAAGAACTTGTGGAATGGAGCGGGATTCGAACCTGCCGCTAGCAATATGCTGTACTGATGCCCCACCAATAAAACTTAGTCCTGAATTCAGCTTGTACAAATGTTCAGTTATCACTCTTGGTAGTCTTGTCCCCATTTTTGCCCTCGACCAAACCCCATCTTAGCCTAAATTCAACTTGTTTCTAACACGCTTAGTTTAAAGTAACTACAGAGGGAACCATAGGTGAAACCCTTCATCAGTTCAGTCGGTAGAACACTTGACCTGCATTGGATTGGTTCCAGGTTCCAATCCACCTCAAGTCAGTATATTTTTCTATGCATTTCCTCTCAGCTCCCAAGATCCTACTGAAGATGCCAGCCTCCATCCAGCGTCGAGTCCGGCGCCAGAACATCCAGTTCATGCACAGCCGCATGCAGTACAGCATCGAGTATTTCCTCTTCATCCGCAAGCTGGTCACGTGCAACGCCACGCTCTTCAGCGTGCCCCAGGGACAGGAACAGCTGGTACGTACATTTTTCCGACCACCAAAACTTGCTCATTTTGAAGTCAAAAGTCTGTTGAGGCTGTACAAGATGTACAAGAACCGTCCACTATGAGAGGTATGACGTGATTCCATGGACTAGTGCATCAGCGACTGAGGGCGCTGCTAATGACACCATTTAGGGTGTGGAATAAAAAATCAAAATATACTTGCAGATTTAATGAGCTTTACTTCAGTGCAGAAATCACCGCTAAGAGTGTAATGCAATTTCCGAACAGCAAAATGTTCCGCTGTTCCAGCGGACCGCATTTGTCAATTTTGTAATTTTTGCTTTTGTTTTTCCTGAATTCAGAGATTCTTTCTTTGGTTTCAATTTCACAGGGTCCTGAGGCAGAAGAGCTTGCCATGATTAGTATTCAGCTCGCATCCAGATTCCTCTTCAGCGTAGGCTTTCACACCAAGAAGACACTACGGTAAGCTGATTCCAGCCCTCCCTTGACCCATCCACATGACCACACTAATGACCCCCCACCAGTTACCCCAGTGATCCTGTCTATGATCCCATCTATGACCCACCCACAACCCACCCCCAGCCTCACTACTGCATCAACCTACACCTGCCAATTTCCCCACCCTCCCAAGCCTACCCACCTTCCTCCGCCCTCCCAAGAAGCACCTCCACCTACATCCACCCTAAGCTCCGCCCGGCCTCTGCCCAACCAGGCCTTAGAATGACCACTTTTTGTTATCGTCACAGGGGGCCAGCCACCGAGTGGTACGACGCACTCTATGTTCTACTACGGAGCAGCAAAAATGTACGCCGGTGGTTTGCCCAGAACGTCCTCTTTGCCCACACCTCGCGGTTCTCCGAGTACCTTCTAGAATGCCCCAGCTCCGAGGTAAGAAGAGAAGTTTCTAGAAGTTTGTGTACCTGAGTCCTTTAAAACAATTTGTCTTTGCACTATGATTTTCGTAAATTCAGCTCTAACCCTTCTCTATCTTTTGAAATCTGTGGAAAGGTTGCGGAAGACTTGGCAGGTTTAAGGAAGGTGGAGCCCAGCCACTCTTATTACACATGACACATGATCCCCTCTTGAATATGCAAAGAACAGGCACTTGGTTTCCTCCACATTTGAAATTGTTGAGGATCCTGGAACTTTTCTGTAGAAATTGACCGGATACAAGGGTTGAAAGTTCATGTCGTGCTTTCTTTTGTGCTAGGTACGGAATGCCTTTGCCAAGATTATAGTAATTCTAGCTCACTTCTCACAGCAAGATGGACCTTTCAGCCCAGGTAAGAAATTTGGAACTCCTTTTTTGCGGGAGCCGACAGTAAAGACAGTGTATTCGTGTAAACGCTTGCCCACCATTGGTTTGCACCAGGGGTGCTACGTCATTATCACATATCAACCAGCACCTGTCTACCATAAACACGGTCTGCATCACTTATCCAGAGCAATTTTCTGTCTCTACAATCTCAGCTGGTCAAGCCTCGGACTCCACCAGTACCCTGAGTGACTACCTGCTCCACGCCGTCCTGTCTCTCCTCAAGAAGGAAGTGTCGGAGCACGGCAGACACCTGACCCAGTACTTCCATCTCTTCCAGATGTACGCCAACCTCGGCATCCCGGAGGTGAGGCGGCTCTTCCACCCGCACGTCTTTCTCCTAAACCCGTAGCAGCATTCTGGCCAGTGCATTTTTTTTTTTTTAGCCCCAGGCGTTCAATTCTCCCGGTTCATGCTTCAGGTGGTCAGATCTCCCTTCTGGGTTGATCTGGAACTAAAGTGAAAGCTTTGGTCGATAGCAAAGCTAGCACTTGTTGGGTTGGTGGGGACAATGTTATAAGACGACTAGGAAGAGTTTGTCAGTCACTAGGGAAGGCTTTCATACAAGGCGCATACTGGCATCGTATACAGTAAGCTGTCGGTGCATGTGTGGTATAAGCGGTTATACGCACGTTGGTTTCTTTATCCTTTTCTTGTTGGCTGATTCTGCATCAGTTTGATATGTGTTTATACTTGCCCTTTTTACTGCTTTTCCGTCAATTTATTATAATCATGCATGATTGGATTGAAGATAGATGGATTGCTGAACACGGATCAGTCATTGAAGTTTGTCTCGACACTCACAAGCTTTAGACTAGAAGTTGCTGGAAGTGAGAAATCCACGATTAAAATCTGTCCGCTGTCCACAGCTTCTGTCGCTAAATAACGGAATATTCCACAAATGCCTTGGATTCTCTGAGCTCTGGCTGCATTGAGTGCACAACTGCTCTAAACACAGAATTGGTGCTTTTGCCTTTTCCAGAGGACCCAGCTATTGAAGTTGAATGTCCCGGCTACTTTCATGCTCGTAGCGTTGGACGAGGGGCCGGGACCGGCCATCAAGTACCAGTACGCCGAGCTGGGCAAGCTCTATTCGGTCGTCTCCCAGCTGGTCCGATGCTGCGACGTGTCGTCTCTCTGCCAGTCCTCAGTGGTGGTACGTTGGCATTGTTTGCTTTAATTGTTTTCTTCCAAAGCTCAGCCGTGCCTTCATCTCTGGCCCCATCTTGAGCATGACAATCAGTCCCAGACGTTGGCTGTTGCAACAAAATGAAAGTACTGTGGTCTCAAACGAGATAACTGGACGTTATTGTGGGAAGAAATGAAGCTGTGTTGAGCCAGAGCATCTAAAGTCAGGGGACACAATTTGTGAAAGCCAAAATCCAAGAAGAATCTCCATTTAAGAAAAATTCCTCCACAGCGCCATCTGCTGTTCATGCCCAAAGCCAATACAAATAGTCCGCTGTAATATTAATGAACCCAAGAGACCTCATTCCTCCAATGTCAGTTTTTTTTTCACCCACCCTAAGTGTTCTGATTTAAGTGGGAATAATGTGACAATCCCCCGTCGCCCATCTGTTCTTCCTAGGGTTGTGCGCCGAGAGAGAACCCCCACGGCGACAACGTCTGCAGCAAGCCCATCATGGTCATCCAGCAGCAGGTGGCCGACCAGCTCTTCCTGAGAGGCGGCTACGTCAAGAAGCTCATCGAAGACTGCAACAATTCTGATGAGACCACCAAACTTCTCAAGGTACGGCCGTCTTGCCTTTCTCCACAGCGTGTGATTGCTGCCTTGTAGGAAAGTGGATCCACAATAGACGTGGGATTTAGAATTTTCACAGATTGAGTACCTGGATTCCCAAGTACCAGGGAATACACATGGTTTACAAGGTACCTGGATTTCAAGGGCTTTGGATTCCAAGGTACCTGGATACCCAGGTACCAGGATCCTAGGGCACCAAGGGGCCTACATTCAAAGGTACCTGACTTCAAGTTAGCCAATCAACCATAGTGATTAGTTGAGTTGTGAAAAGTCCTGAGAAGGCAGCACAAGTCCTGAAAACGCTATTTTCACCACGTGTGTCAGACAGTCGACCAATGGAAATGATGCATTCTCTCATAAATATGTATGAAGTGGAATGATTTCCTCCTTCCTTCTGACAGTTCTGCAGCTGGGAGAACCCCAAGTTCTCCTCCATGGTCCTAGGCGAGCTCCTGTGGCAGGTGGCGTACTCCTACACCTACGAGCTCAGGCCCTACCTGGACCTACTCCTCCAGATGCTGCTCCTGGAAGATTCCTGGCAGAACCACCGCATCCTCAATGCTCTCAAAGGTGAGGCGATGACAGCAGGTTTGTGTATTTCGTGATTTTTTGCAGATTCTCGGGGGGGGGGGATAAATACATACCAAGCAGCAGTGAAGGATGGTGACTTCTGTGTCGCTTGGTTGTTCATTGGTTACCCATACGCCCAGTCTCTCACTGGCCGAATCCATACAGAATTCAGTTGGATGTGCAGTTTCATTCAGCTTTTTAACTGAATGTTCTCAGAGTGGTGAATTTCAGCTGAATGTGCACAGAAGGGCAGTTTTCAACTGGATGTGCACATCATGACAGTTTTTAGCTGAATGTGCACAAATCAATTACAAATGCATGGGTACAACCACAGTGAGACTCAAAATCAAGTAAGAGTAGTATTGGCATTTGCTCAAGAAACATGGTAATGAAGGCCTGGGTGAAGTGCCAAGGTCGTCTAGATTTCCCCATTTCACTTACAGTTAAGATTCCCTCACGGTTCTACACAGCTTCCTTGACATACCTTTCTTTTTTAGGTATTCCAGATGATCGGGACGGCCTGTTTGACACGATCCAGCGCTCCAAGAACCATTACCAGAAGCGTGCCTACCAGTGCATCAAGTGCATGGTGGCGCTCTTCACCAACTGCGAAGCGGCGGCCCGTCTGCTGGCGTCACATGGCGACCTCAAGCGTAAGTGGAACTGGTCAGTGGAGTGGCTAGGCGACGAACTGGAAAGGGTAAGTCGACGGTCCCACTTTTACCATTGAACAAAATCACACAAAGGAAACTGACCAGGTCTTGCTTTAAGTTAGTGCCAGGTTGACAGAGAAAAATTTACCACGCCGTCATTCAAACCAAGGACAAGAATCGAATCCTACTCCGGTCAGTTTCTGTGATTCATCATTAGTCACATATCGAGAGAAGTAATTTTTTTTCATCCCAAAACAGAGGCCATATTCAGCCAATGCCCAGTACACCTACAACAACTGGTCCCCGCCGGCCCAGTCCAACGAGACCTCCAACGGTTACTTCCTGGAACGCTCGCACAGCGCTCGCATCACCCTAGCCAAAGCCTGCGAACTCTGCCCAGATGATGTAAGTCCACGTCTTTACTTAGTACATCAGGATTTCAACATTTATTGACCCGATTTTTCCAGGCCAAAGTCTCCATTTATTGTCCATTTTTGTACAGTTAAGCTCTTATTGGTAAATAAAGATAAAATATTGGAGATAATGTTATTTACACTTCAGGAGCCAGAGGATTTAGATGCCATTGACGAGCAAGAAGGGTCCCCCCAGGACGACCCGCCGGTACCCAACTACCAGCAGCATCTACCACACCTGCAGCAGCCCAATAACCAGCAGATTGCTTCACAGGTGAGACCCAGAGATTTGAGGACCAAAAAAAAAAAAAAAACCTAAAATAACTTGACGGAAGGTGGGTGGGGCCTAATCTGCCAGATAGGGGTTCAGAGACAATTTGTGGATTGGCGTGGCTGGCGTTCATGGTGCGAGCAAAGTGGTCAGTGGTACCGTGAAATGAGTCTGGGTTGACACTAACCAGTTCAGTTTGTGCAGTTGGCAACTGTCCGATGAGCATTAGTGTCAGCTAGCATATCTTGGTACTTTGCAGTGCCGTCGTTTGTGGTCCGAGCGTTGCACATGAAGTCTCAGAGCAGTATCTTGCGAGTCTGGATTCAAACCCTCTCAGAGTAACTTGACATCCTTGTCCGTGGCCGAAATGCCTCGTAGCTGCTTCCTGCTGCCAAATCAGCGTCAAGCTGGTACCCTGTTACCCGACAAACCCACTTTGAAGAGACTTTTCCGATTCCTGTGTGCCCCAGGTACCGGAAGAGGAAGGTTCGCCCCAGGAAGATGCGCCCATCACCAACATCCAGCAGCAGAACAAACCACAGCCCCCGCCAAACAACCAACAGCACGTGACTGCGCAGGTGAGTTATTCTGCATTTTCAGAAGTGTATGTTTGGCGATGGCCAGTGGTCCCCACCAGCAGAATTGAGTGAATTCTCCAGAGGAAGCACATGGCCTGCAGTCAGGACGAGGTTTCCAGTTGGAGTCCCGCCCAAGAAAGCTCTTGGCATTTTTCTCACAGTCTCCCAAGAAGCAATGAGCGTGCATTATCAATGCCACAATACTGAGCAAAATTTCTCAACTAATCCTCCATTCCCCGGTGCAAAATTTGACTGCCAAGCCGAAGACGTTTTGGCCTGCCTTCGACAGCTTAGATCACCTCCAAGGATTGAAGTTATCAGAAATTAAAATGGGAGAGGTGGTTATGGGATCTTCGAATGTCCCACAAGGTGTTTTCTAGCAATATTCAGAGGACTGTAGTGAATACGACTCAAACTCAGTGAATACAGTGACTTTGTGAAGAAAAGAAAGTCGTTTTTACTCGGGTCAGAGTGGTAAGTATGATGATTTTTTTTCCCCGGTGGGAACTGTCGTTTATGTTTCTTATTGGCTTGATTCGTTGCACGCTACAGAACAGCCAACTTCAGCCACAAGTGCCCAACAACCAGCAGCCGCCACCCTTCACCCAGAACCACCAAGCCAACCTCCACCGGCACCCCAACGCCATCAACAACACCTTGCACAGCCCCCCGAACCCCCCGGCCCACAGGGGGGGAGGCCAGCAACAACAACAGCCACAACAACAGCCACAACAACAACAACAGCAACAGCAACAACCCCCACCACCGGGGGAGGAGGAGCTCTCCCAGGAACCCACCCACGACCCCGGTGACGGCTACCCTAACAACAAGGACAAGGAAGGTCAGTGAGACCCTCCGAGAGCTCCCTGGGAAGACCCTGTGACGTCACAGGTTTTGTCGACGGTCGCAGAAGTTCCCGATCTGGCAGAAAAATTGACTAATTAGCATTAAGCAGCAAAATCCAGTGCCCTAGACATTGCTTTCGTTTTCATCAGACCCCTGAACCAAGATCAAATCACTGTGTTTGATAGAGCAACTCCGGTAAAAAAAACAACCAAAAACAAAACAAATGGCTCGTTGTAAACTTGAAGCCAGATGAAAAGTAAGACTACACCCAGCACGCAAATTCAAACAAGAAGTAACTGGTTTTTTTTGTAAGAAATGCCAAAAATTTTGAATGCAGAAACTTAAAATACAAAAAAAAAGCTGTGACGAGTGATTGTGAACAGTTTGTGGGTAGTGCAAATATATTTATATATCTGAAACCTAAACAAAACTATCTTTGTGAGAAACTTAAGTGCACTTTTTTTTTTCAATTTTCACTGAATGCCTGGGTTTTTAGTGTAATGCCCACTCCAGCGAATTATAGCAATGCTAAAATCAAGTTGTGGCAGTCAGAGCGGCCTAAATGTCGAAGACACTCAAAAACAGGAAATTGATTTGTCATCGCAGAGTTTGAAATGCTACATTTGGCCCAGTGAACACAGGTTCTCCAGGTCCCTTCTTTCAAAGAACTTTGAAGAATATCGACACCTTTGGAATGTTGTACATAATTCAGATTAACGCTCTTCGTTTTCACCTTCCAGTTGGTCCATTTTTGCCTGTCTGGAGATTCTGATACAGCAAAGGTATTTTTTTATGCCTGTTGGTGGAATACTTGAAATTAGATGAGCAGTCCTTTGCTCCTTGTTTGTTTTATTCCAAAATAATTTCATTAATAAGGTGTTTATTTTTTGGCGGTGTCAAACATGGCATTAGTGAAGACATACTTGCCAGATTTGTAGGTTGTTAACCATTTGGATGAAAAAAAAATATTTTGTGTGCTCAGAATGTGATGACAGAATTATTCAGGATTTTTTTAAATGGAGCTTAGAATGCTACGGCACAGTGGCATTTTAGGTGTCGGACGCTTGCCAGGGTCCATTTATGAGCAAAAACTATGAGCAAAAACGGAGCATTATCTTTAACAGGGAAAACAGACGTCCAAATCCATTCGCTTTGTCAGGTGTTCTCAGTTTTTGTTTGGTTATGTTTTGTACTTAAGATGAATGACTTTGGCCATGGCAGACAAAGTCCTTATTCATGTTTCTTGTCCGTTGACTTTTGTCTTGTGTGCTCGAAATACTTGGTAATTTTCCAGTACTTTGCTGAAGGGCTCGCCTGGGATATAATTGTCATTTTGATATTCAATTTTTAAACACTGTTCCAGTGAAAAGAAAAGGCTTATTGAACGATATGTAACTTCTGCGCGGTAACTTCTGGGGCATATCACAGAAGTGAGTTTTCCCTTTTTTTCCCTTGAGTGGTAGAAGTTTCTGCAGGTGAAGTTCTATTCTGTAAAATTCTCGTCTGGACAATCCGAAGAATGTGCAGAATCTGTCACAAAATTGAGAAATTCTGGATGGTGAAATTCTTCAGACTGTAGAAGTTATTTGTGACTGGCAGTCTCTATACATTTGAGTTCTGATCTCGCTGTGTATTTCCACAGCATGGCTTCTATGTTGTTGCCATGGGTATTTGGGAGGAGGGGTGAGTTACTGCAGGCTGGTCTGTCGTGTTTTAGGGCCCTTGTCTGTCTGAGGAAACTTTAAAGATCCGCAGCTGCGCTCCTTTTGCCGGATGAGCGAGTTGGGCGTTTCAAAACAGCAGAATCGTTTGAGAAGAAAGCACGCGCGTAAGTCCACAGAGGGCCGCGTTGATAGGACAGATCGTGCAGGTGCATCCGAATGACCTGGGGACACGCTTCACTTTTGGCGGGTGCTGTTGGAAGACCAGACTGGCTCAGTCTGCACGCAGGCTGATGGGTAGAATACTTCTTGGGTTCATGTCGAAACTTTGGTCTGCATGGTAGTCTTCTTTGCAGGAGCTTTTTCGTACTTTCTCTGCCCTGCACACTTTCTTTCGTTACCGTATGTATTATAATCCTTCTTCAAGGTTTCAGAACACCTTTAGTCATTTAATACTATTGTTATGCTCATTGCTTATCATTGCTTACCCAGAACACAGGCATAGAGAAAGTTTGCTTGGTCTGCCAGAACTTTCTGTGTTAGAGTCACATTCAGATGAAATCCACTGTAACAGTAACAACTGTGGGTTAATTTTTACTCTGTCTAGAGAAAGTCTGTGGTCTGCAGTCCGGTGGCCTTGAAAATGTCGGGCTGCAAAAACCATTACCCTGCTGGTGGGATTTTCTCGTACCCATCTCCAGAAGAATCTTTATTTTCTGGTACATCATGAATTAGATTTGATCGATTGAGTTCAGTTATACAAAATGGTGAATATTGTATGATCTATGCAGGGTTGTGTTTGGTTATTATTTTCTTCAGAGATCATTTCCAATTTTTTTCCCTTTTCATTTTGTGCTGTGTTTATGTACATTGGGGAAAGTACATGAAGAGTTTTGCTCAATTTGGCATCTTAATGAAACTGTTGGTTGCCATGGCAACATTCAGTTGATCACACCAAAATTTTTTATATGCATTTATTTAAGAGAGATAAATACTTTGTTTTGAGCGAAGTTTGTTATCGTAACTAAAAAAAAAGAAGAAAAAACCCTTTGATTTGGGTTCTGTACATAAGTTTAAACAAAATGGAAATAACACAGCAAGTTAGTAATGTTGTATATGTGTCATTGTCATACAAGTGTAGCCAGAAACATAATGTAATCATTAAGACTAGCCGCGCCCTCAAGTCGCACCGAGCTTTCGTAGTTTAAAACCTAGTTAGCCAAAACTGTTACTGGCTGTGTAATTTATATTACAAGGAACACACAGGTTATGAAGTGCAAAAAAGGACCAGTGATTTCTGTGTATAAAAAAAACGCGAACTACTGGTTGTTATTTTATTGGAAGCCTTAATTGTTGAAGCTGGTGTTTTATAGCATATTCTTATGATTCTTAATAATAGTAACAGGAAAAAAACGCACGGATATTTAAAAAAAAATGTAATTCAGATCTATAAATTTCAGTTGGATAAAAAGGAACCGCAGTAGTGAACCTGTGATAAACGAAGACAAATACGAACAATGATCTATTGTTTTGAAAAATGTACATGTACAATGGAGTAATAAACAGCTGTGGAGCACGCGATTTCCCTGCTCAATTTGTGGCCGTGCCTAGATTGTTTTTCAGCGTCGATCTTGAGGATTACCGAGCCATTTCTGGAACTTGTCCTGCATTTCTTGGGATGTTGTTTGGATTCGTCGTCGGTGTTCCGAGACTCGAATTTGGCTGGCATTCACTCCTGTATTTCGCGCCCAAGAATAAGACGGAGTTCCATGGGTCGGAATAGAGTCGACTTGAAAAAAAAAGTCCTTAGGGGCGTTCATTATCGGCCTCGGGTAAAGGTCGCGAACTTGAGCAAACAAAGTCGGGGGGTGGGGGCTTGGGGTATTTTCGTGTAGCTGGCATACATTTACCAATAATCATTCCCCGGTACTGACTACTTTGTTATGCTCAGCACTTTGTCACTTGGGAATAGTTGCAAGAGCAAAGCAACATTTTGAGTTGGCCTTGGAAGGCATCTGAGATCAAGAATGGCTGTTGATAAATATACCCATTTCTACGCCTGGACGATCTTGTCTCTGGCGGCTTTGGCGGTGTATTGGGCCGAGGACAGCGTAGCTGCCAAATTCATCGCTGGTGTCCTTGCCCTGGCCGGGCTGTACATCGGCAGCAAGCTCATGCCCAGGGGTCGCGTCCACCCCGAGGGTAAGGTAGTGTTTATCACGGGGTGCGACACGGGGTTCGGCAACGGTCTGGCGAGGCGGCTGGATGGCTGCGGCTTCACTGTGTACGCCGGCTGCTACACTCCAGGTGAGAGAATATACCAAAATTTGACAAATAACTGACTAAAAGGAGTCTGGTGGATGTAGCTAGCCTCTTCATTTACCGATTGCTGTTGGACCTACCGCATCAACTTCTGATTATTATATCGATTCACCGATTGATATGCAATCGATAGGTGGATTGGTTGATCGTCTTATCCTTCAACTGGTTGAGTGATGATCGGTTGATCACTGATTGACTGATTAACTAATCAGCTGATATGCGGCTTTTTAGACAATTGACACTATTATGATAACTGCGCCCAATCTCTGCTTCTCTCCAGATGGCCCAGGTGCCCAAAGGCTCGTCAGGGAGTCTTCGGGCAGGCTGACCATCGTCCCTTGTGACGTCACGTCCGGTGAATCTGTGGCAGCGGCGAGGGACACTGTCAAGGCTGGCCTACAGCGGCAAGGCTCCGGTACGCCCATCACCCAAAGGCCTTGCATCGCTTTTGCCCTCTACTCACGAAGAGAATCTCTCATTTGACTTTTATCCCCACACTTAAGTTCCGTAAAATAAGAATAAACTTTTCCGAGGGTTCGCCAGTTGTCAGAAATTCCATTTTGTTTCATAGCCTAAAGTACTAAAAAAAAAGAAGAAACATATGTCGTCCACTGTAGGAACTTCTATTCACCTGAACACACAGTTACAATGCAAAGGCTTGATGCTAACCCCACAAATAGGGCTGTAGAGGCTCGCTTTTACAGCCTGTCTCTTATCTGTCGCCACAAGCGAGCCACTACAGCCCTATTTGTGGGGTTAGCTTGATGCATACCCAAAAATCCCTTCATTTAGGTAAGTTGTATCCTCAAATAACACACTGAAACGATGTATGTACATGAAACAGCCGTTGACGTCTGGAGGAGCTTACGCCTTGACAAGCATTTTTTTCAAGTCAGTATACCTCATCCAACAGTGTTGCGGTGGAAAACAATGGTCGTGTGTCAAAACTAGCTGTTGTAAGAATGGCAGTAGTAAAAGAGCCGCCATAATTCTCGACTTTTGTCTTCATTTTGTCAGAGCTATTTGCGGTGGTCAACAATGCAGGTATATGGCGCTGGGGTCCAGTTGAGTGGACGCCCGTCAAGCAGTACAAGGAGGTAGCTGAGGTCAATGTGTACGGGATGATTCGAGTTACTCAGGCCTTTTTGCCACTCATCCGCAAAGCAAAGGGTAAGCAGTCGAGGGTACCGTGTGATCAGATCAAGAGCTTCCCTATCAAGCGTATCACTGATAATGAATGACACAGACTTAAACCCCATCGTGTCAATAATAATTGTGGGATTTTGTGGTTTGCAGCCTAGCATGAGGCTTATGTAACCGCCAATTGGAGGCAGCTACAGGCATGAATCTCTGTGTGGCCAGGTGATATCACGATTTAGATGGCGCATCGTCGTGCTTTTATTCAGCCGTGAGCCATCCTCACGGTCGCCTAACTGTCCTTTGTTCATTACAGTGTCCACATACGAATTTCAGAGGACCAAAGACATTTTATGGGTCAAAACACTGCAAATGCAAGTGAGACCACCTCAAGATGTAAAGACAGTTTTGCTGATTTTTTTTTGAATGAAACAGAAGCACATTTTTGCGATGCCGTGGATGGTTCACACGCACCCACGCAGTTACCGCATCCGACCTGCATTCTTCGGTCAAATTACGGGTGTCTTCCAAAAAGATTGAAGCCCCAACTTTCTTTTGAAAACCTGACAGGTCGTTTTGTGAATGTCAGCAGCGTTAACGGACTGTGGACCGGGCCTTGTGTCTCCAGCTATCACATGACAAAATACGCTGTGGAATCCTTCACCGATGCACTGCGACGTGAGATGAACCCATGGGGTGTTAAGGTGCGTGGTAACATTTTTCATATCAGGAGCCCCGAAACTGAGGGCGCTATCTGCCTCAAGCAGGAGCACCTCCTCATTAGTTGAAAAGAGCCATATAGGTTGGGAGCGTTCGTTTTGTCGGTAGCGATGCGACCGTAACGCGTGCATTTTGTGGTCGTTCGTGAACCAGCGAAGTTCATTTTCGACCAAGGGAGCCTCCGTTTCTAAAAAAAAAAAATTCAAAAATGCGCCCTCTCTTGGTCCAGCGCAAGATTCATAATTATTATAGGCTAAGGTTAAGTTCGAGCGACGACTGTAGTGACGATAGTTCGATTGACACCGCTCGAATTATGTATGGTTTGGATTATCTAGTCGATCCTTTATAGGCCTAGGTGTATGTTCGTGTCGCTGCTTATCAATAGCCGATTTCGTTTATCATTACAGAGGGAACCATTCACATGAATATAATAATTATTTATTGTACGAGATTTCAGCGACTATGTACGCAGCCAACAGTGAAATGTGAATAACGTCGGTGAGATTATTTTTAAATGACCGACTAGGGTCGTTCAAGTGTAACTGAATGGCGCATGCGCATTGTTAAAAAGCAATTTAATACTGGGCGAACTTACCCTAAGGTGTAAGCTGACTGGCGTTGTCGTGCGCTGACAGGTGTAATGTTAAAATCTTTTCCGATAGGCCTACCCGGTGGGATCTTTTGAAAAACGCATTTCGGGAGCACGGTATAAAAAAAAAAACTCGGCCTAAATTCTTGTCTTCCAATCACCAGGTCGTTTTGATAGAACCTGGCGAATACGGGAAGTTGACCAACATCGCCTTGCATTCCCGTGAGTCGCTACTGGCCATCTCAAACCCGCTTTGGGACGGTGCGAGTGCCGACGTCCAAAGAGACTACGGGCGGGGCTACTTTGAAGGTTACGTGGCGCGACTGCACCAGGCGCGCGAGGATTGCTGGGACGACGTCACACCTGTCTTGGACGCCATGTTGGACGCGGTCGCCTCTCGCAGACCTAAGCATCGTTACATCATCGGGGAGCTCTCCACGTACTGCACGGTATACAAGTTCATCCTCTTGCCGTCGTGGTTGACAGACGGCACATTTTATAAGCAGGACACCTTGTACCCAAAACCGGCCGCTTGTAGGGAAAAACAAGACTAATCTTCATGGGATCTTTTAGACTTGGGTCCTCATTAATCAGTATTAATGATAGAATTCTATGATCCAGGCTTTATCATAAGGGTTGAGGGCTCTACTGCCACTTTGAGTGCAGTTCCTAAAAAAAAAATCTTGCGGTTTGACCAAAAATGAAAAATTCAAAACAACAATTAATGGCACACCGATTATTTTACAGCTAGTTTATTCTGAAGACGAGTCTATTAGGACACAAGAGACTTTTAAATTCTTTTTCCTTGCTTGTTTTTCCCTTAAAGCCACAGCAATATTCCAGAACCCTCTGCCAAGTGTAAAGAATATTCGAAAATAATGGTGATCCCCATATAGAGAGTCTGTTGATTTACCTTTCTCACATAAGTCTGGCATTAATGCACGATCCTCAGGCTGCGCACCAAGGAAACATTGGACGTTCAATCAAACAGGAAAGATAAAGATCAAGTTTTGAGGAATGCTGCAATTTGAAATTTAACTTTTTGCACAAATTGCCGACAAAATTCACCCTGCAACTGTTCCTCACGAATCTATTTACATCAAAGCAAACGATATAATTGCATCTTAACCCAAGCCGAGAAAACCGTAGATTAAATCGAAGAGAACAAAACTTACTTATACAGTAAAATTATAAACCATATATTGATATTATGCCATCATCGGGCTTTATGTCAAAAAGTATAATTTTGTTTTAAATGCTTCAAATCTTTATTACAAGAAGTTTTTTCTGAGTTCAGAGTAAAGGGAAGCTGTTTTGAGGAAAACGTCCAGTACACCAACGCCAAGGCGCCGCTGCCAAGCATGCTAAATCTGAAAGGTATAGGTCGGGTGCTTTCACGGACTTTGTCAATTCTCAGTGTCGACTCAAAAGCTGCCGCTAGGATGTAGCTCTGCATGCCATTTTAAAGCCAAGTGTGAGTAGGTTGAATGAAGGCCCGACTATGTCTCAGTGGTATGAACGAGCCTTGGTGGCCTTCACTGCAATGCGTAAGATGCCAGCGAAATTCTAACACCTGCCAGACTTATCAGGTGGAGCACGTGTTCCATTGGTAAAGACAGCAGTGCTCGGACTTCCAGGTCAGGGTGGCACGCCCTCTCGTGTTTCTTGAGTGCCTCCTGGCTCTGCCATCTCTCCTTGCACAGCAGACATTTATAAGGGTTTGCGAACATTCGTTTGGGGCTCAGGTTAGAGACACTTATGGCCGAAGATGCGCCTTCCTGCTTGTCCTCCGTCGTTGCTCCCCAAGTTATCTTGTGGTACAAGGTGTTCAGATGCGCCATGAACTCGTCCACCTTTTGATCACGGACGTAGGAGCGGACCGCTTGTCGGGTCTTGAGGACGGCACTGTCATTAGACTTAGTCTTGCAGTCTGGATTGTGTTTGCCGTGGATGCGCTGGTGGCGCTCCAGGTTGCTCTTATGGCTACTTGCGTAGCTGCAGATCCGGCAGGCGAATTCCTTGACGCCGTTGTGGACGCTCATGTGCCGCTTGAGCAGCGCCTTGCGGCAGAACACGCGGCCGCAATGTGGGCAGCCGTAGCCGGTGTCGTGCTGGTGGCGGACGTGCCTCCGCAGCTCCGACTTGCTGTTGAAGAGGCTGCCGCAGCACTCCAGCTGTTTGTCGCGGCTGTGCATGGCCTGCCGGTGCCGTTCCAGGTTGGTCCGGCGTTTGGTGACGTACGAGCACTCCCCGCACCGGTGCAGGACGGCCTCGACGCTTGTCTTGCCGGCGCGAGCGCGCCGTCTGACACGGTCCACGCGGAGGTCCTGAGCGAACTCCGGCCAACCGGGCTTGGTGTCTTCGACAGGGGGTGGGGTTATGACGTCGAGGGCGGGGAAGGAGGACATTGAATAATTGATTGGAGACTTACACGTGTCTGTTGATAGAGAAACAAAGACATGAGAGTGCATGGTTTGTGTTAGTTTTTTTCGTGCATGCCCGCCGACCTTCCTGTCTGTCTTCTTGCCCGCTCGCCATTACAGATTAAAAATTTTCGGCCAAAATAATTTTCTGTATTTGCCAATTTTCGTTATTTATTTAACCGTGTAGTTTAATTCGTGCTTTCCTGCTTACTATGATCAAAAGCTGATCGTCTTTCTCTTAAAAGGAGACAAACATTAGACAGAAACAAATAATCATTATAATGAGGAGAAAGGAGACGAGTTTGTTGGTATAGTTCCTTCCCTTTCCTTCATAAAGCGAGTAGGAGAGACCCCAAAATGTGTCAAAATCCCTCAGAAATTCCACAGAAGGATACATGACAGAATCCAGAGATTCCCCCCCCCCGACCCCCCGAAAACAAGTTTTGCCCCTGAACATGTTGGTTCTGGATCTGACCTTGCCAGTGATTGGAGCAACCTGTTCGAAACGCAATGTTTTTCCTAAGAATCCCCTTTCACCAAAAAAGGTGTCTGTCAATATGTGGTATTTCAACCATCTACGCGGCAAGTTTACAATTTTACGTGTAGCCCCTTATGAATACAAAATGAGAAGGCATAGCTTTTTTTGGCTGACAGCGCACTGTACTCTGACAAGTGAGTCCTTTCAGAAAACGCTTAATTGAAAAGTGTCCACGGTCTTCCAGACAGTGAGTGCGTTGCTTACAGAATATTGTGCCAAAAGTTACATCTTTTGTGTCGCTGGAAAGCGCCGTTTTGTTGTCTGTTCCATAACAGAAGGTTGATTCTTAAAGCTTTGGTTGTTGTTTCTGGACAGAAAGCAAAACATGTTGTCGCGGAAACTATGAAAAAAAAACCCCGAAAGCTTTGTGACAATGATAGATGATAGGGGTCTGTCTGTTGTCTGCGACAGGTCGCAACAGGGTCGCGTGATGTCTGTGCTCACAAAGGTTTATGTGGATCATAAGCCAGCGTCGAGATATTCCTGTGTTTCAAACAGCGATTCTGAATCGGCTCTGTCAGAAATTAACACCTTGTCAGCATGTCCATGCTTTTAAGGGAGGCTGATCTTTGCGTTACGATTTTGCAGCGGTTAAGATCTGTGATGTCACTGATTCAAATGTCATGACAGTACTGTGGTCGTCCATTCATTAATGAACAACATAAATGCAATCTGGACAGCTCAGCTATAAAAACTGAGCCCAGATTATTTGAAACTCAAACTATTGGCCTTGCAGGTGAAACGTTACATTGGCTGCACAAAACTCAATATCCTGCAAACTTGGATATCAATCGGTGTCAAGAAATCAACACCAAAGCGGCTGTTTTTGCTGCGCGCCAGTTGCTAAGTCGGTGGCCTTTTGTATAAAGGAACACTGAGTTGCAGCTTGCTACAATTGTATCGTTTGCCTAATATTCTTTCTTTTGGCCAGGTTCTCCATGAAAGCAGTATTTACAATATTTGTGCAGAAAATGAGAAGCAAGTGATTGGTCTTACCTGCATCAGTACGTGTTAAAGCTGTGTGACCAGCCATGATGCACGCGATGAGTTGATGTCACAGGGTGAGCGACAATGCAAGGGACGACTGCAGCTCCCGGATGCGTCTAAGCTTAAAACACCATGCACTGATTAAACGGGTCTGGCGGTCAATGGCACTTGCAGTATTTCCTCTACGTGACGCTGATTTGGTGCAGCAAAATTACAAAGAGCTGGGTTTTGCAGTACTTGGTGGTTTAAAGGAATATACGGAACTGTTGGGAGAGAGCCCCTCGAAAGGAGTAACTTACAGGGCTCGGGCCGGCTCGACATAAAGATCCTTTTATCACCAAGTGAAGGCCATTACGTCTCATTCATTGCGTGGTGGATAACAATAAATATACTAGAAAAGTCACTCTTACTCGGGTAATGGCCCAGGGCAGAAAAAGAAATGACACCACTTTTTGGATAGCGATAATTCTTGTAGAGAAATGGTGCACGGCCGAACAACTTTTAAGTCATGTTTCTGATCCCAGCTCCTATCAAACCTTCTGGAACTAATTTTCACTTTTATTCTTTAAAATTCTGCTTTCTGTGGTATCTTTTAGTTGTCTTCTATTTTGTCTCTTTCGTCGGTTTCGAAATCCACACGCTTTTGAATCAGACATTAACCAAAATAGGAACAAACTGACTTAAAACTAACATTGAAAAACAATTTGCGACCAGTACAGGGTCTTTTCGAGGCCCTAGTACTTTCTGACATGCCGAACGTTCAGGGCCGATTTGTTGATTTTTTTTAACGACAAACAAATCCATCGGAGCGTGGCACAAAGTTGGCCTTTCAAAACAGCCATTTAAAATAGATCTGCATAAAAAGACAACGTGGCATTCTACACCGCTGTCAACACAGTTAATCTTCTTTCTCTTAAAAAAACATGTACAGTCCGTCACAGTGAGTGAATCGACTCACGGATATCTTTTCCTTTTTTCAGAACAATTACTCTCGCTGTTGTTGCGTGCATGCAACTTCGCTTAGCCCGAAAAATGGCAAAATCGGCTGGGGGGGGGGTCTTCAGGGGAGGGGGGCAACAGTTAAACGCGAGGAGACCCTCAAATCCGCATTATGCAAATTGACCCGTCGTTACGCCTCTGACCACGAGGTCATATGCCTCGTCTACCCCATGCGTACCTTGAAAAGCGTCAGGACATTCAGCTGAATGGGCAATTTAATGTGCAACTTATTACAGCTACCAGACTGAACCTCTTTTAGATGGGCGCTGTCCTACTGTATTTTCCATTTTCGTGTTTAGCTAGCTTTGTACAACACGCCTTGTTGTCGCTAGGTTGTCGCAAAAGTGGAACACTGTCTGTCATTTTTTTACTTGTTTGTTTGGGTTACAAGTCCCTTTTTTCACTTGATGAGGGAGACAGAACTTTATAACACGGGGGGGGGCGCTATTTGTGTGACCCATCATTCCCAAACCAGGCAAGTAAAATCCATATCCCTGAAGTAGTGAAACTCTCCACTGTTGATGTTCATGGAAGTTCCACAAACTGTCATTATCAAGCTTTTTGAAGACACAGTTTAGACATTGGATCACTTTGAAGCCTAAGAAAATAGTGAACGAGAGGAATACTTGTCAAAAATGTTATTTACCATCTTCAGCCTGATTGTGGAATGTTGGATCACATGTGCTGAGTTTTGCAATTTGCATATTAATGTTTACACTACGTCAGTCGTATTAAAGTTCTCTGACAGCGTTATGAGGAAATAGGACACTTTTGTGGCCTCATAAAAGCTTGTGTTTTCTTGCAAAAAACTTTTGGTTACAAATGCACCGAAATGCCGAAAGTTCACCCCCACAAACTCAGCTCTACCAATCAAAAGGAGTTACGACTGTGAGAACAACCCTTTTTTGTGTTCGCGAGAGGCGCTCATCCGAGGACGGACTACGGCTAAAAAGAATTCCAACACAATTCTGCTTCACCTCGGGCTACCGCGTGACGGATTGGCCCCTCAGATTGGCGAGTGCAGGGTATCATTGAAACGCTGTGCTTTCATTACCTGTTGGAGCAGATTCTTTTTTCAATAACAGGTCCTGTCTGTTCCTGCTATCAATGCAGGCTTGTTGACTGTTTGCCACAACTCAACCATGTCCTTAAATTCCTGTGCGCAGTCTCTCGCGGCATCCACCGATGACCCTTGATATTATTGTGTGTATAGGTGGGTGCGCTTGTTCACGGTGTGGAAATATTCGCAAAAAAAACAACAACATCACAACCACACGCGGAGCCTACCAGGAAGGTGTCAACATCATGCTTATTGGTAATTTGACTGTTATAATTTTTAGGCATAGATGGCTTATACGGGTCTTTTCTTTTTCCTCGATTCAACCGAAGGGTGGAACTGGAGGAGGGCCTTGAGAGACCATGCCCCCCCCAAAAAGCCAATAAGTAAATAAATAATTACATAATCTAGAAAGGCAATTTATTTGTTCTTTTCGTGTCTCTTCCTTACAAAAGCGTGTAAAGACCCCCAAATGTGGCCTCACCCCTCAGAAATTTGAAGGTCACACGAGGTTACATGAAAAACAAGCAAACAAACAAAGATCTGCCCCTCCCCCAAAAGAGATAAAGCCCCCCACTCCCTGATAAATCTAGTTGTAGGGCAGTTTGTAAAAGTTGGTAGCTCACACGACCCTCCGCCCACCCCCCCTTTTTGTGAAGCTCAAGTATTCGGTAGTCAACGCATGTTTATTTAGAGGGCGCTACGCATAAATCGCAGTGTTTTGCGAGGGCGCTAGACATAAACATGCGGATGTGTTGTAAGGATATGAAGGACGCACTTCACTTGAAACTAATGAATTGATACTGAGTGATCGTGTGCATGTAAGTTCCTTCCGTATAAAGATCACTTCATTCTGAGCTTTGTTTAGCCAAAAAAAAAAATTATACCAGTTGATTTTGACAGTTACGAGGACGTGGAAGCGTGGGTAGGCATACTCCGTATAAAATGTGAGCGTTCCCAAAACTATGAGTCTATTAAGTAAAGTGAACCTTCTCGACGTTCGCATTGCATCATGCCAGCAGTAGGGGTTTGGATGACAAGCAATCCATTTTATGCACAACCCGATGGAAGAAGTGTAGGCCTACCCGTAAACGTTAATCTGCATCCATTTCATTACATTTTCCAATTCAAGCCATCCTCTTCTCACAGACTGTTGCATTATAGATTTGAGATGAAGATATTCACAAAACTTCAAAGTTTAAAGCACGGCAGAAAAGAAAAGTTTTTGTCATCGACCATGCTTGTCTAAGATCGTGAATATTATTATTGCAGGCGGCACAAAATGTATGGAGCAGCCGTGTTACTGAGCCTGATGGCTACCATGACAACGGGCAGCATTGATGCTAACAATCTGAATGTTGGTAGGACCTCTTCAATTTCTGTCGTGACATCACCGGGCCCGCCAACTTGCAAACTCCTCAACGTCGAGGAGGGTAAGCTTTGTGGCAAGCCACTCCGAGCCAAAGTTGAAGTTGAATAACCCCCGTCTGAGTTACAAGTCTTAAAAAAGGTGTACTTTAGCACCAAGATTACAAAAGGCACCTGATGTTGCCTTTACAGACTGATCTAGCAGGTGGAAAAAAGCCAGTGGACCTCTGTGTGTTCGACTCATTGGGTCGTCAGACTACCTATGCACCTCACGTCATGCCACACTGCTTGTACACCACAAATTTACTCTGTGCATACATGCCTGGTAGAAGGACAAGATTTTTTCTTCCCTAGTTTCGTGTCAAATTAATTTCAGTTTAATGTTTCCCAACACTTTTAGGACTAGTTGTGCTGAGCCCTGTTTAATCGTTATGGCTTCTTTCTTTTCTTTCTTTTTTTACCTGGAGGTCTACCTCTTGGCTTCAAATCTCCCCAAAAAGCCACAGTCGTCACCGTTGTCCATCAGCTTTATGTCACCTTAGACTGCCCGAGCCGAAACTTTTGTAGTATGAGGTGGCTGAAGGGCTATACTCCGGTACAAGTGAATAATGATATCCAACTTGACCAGTTCAACCAGACCTTGGAAATCCTCCGGGCACTCTACAGCCAGGCTGGCAACTACACCTGCATGGTGACGGACGGACGGCACACCATCAGTCAGACGTTCCAACTTCGAGTTATAGGTGCGTTCCGCAAACTTGGCTCGTAAGTAATAGCCCCAACCCTCCCAGATCTTACAAAATCCACCAGGAGGTCATGTTTTTGTAAAGGATTGGATAAGATTAAGTTTAGCTGCCATTGCTTTTCATTGGGACTGATTTTTTTCCCCTGAAAGTTGAAAAAACAAGGATATGCCCTTGAGTTCCTGCACAGTGTAGAATTTGGAAGGATTCCGGATGGCTCTTCAGTGACGGAAATAAGGGGGAAAAATGATCAGCAAATGATGCTAATCAAATTGTGTTTTGATTAGCAATTTTAATAAATTAAATTGACTGGCAAAAACAAACGCAACAAAGCGTGTAATGAAAATTTTCATTTTCAAACCGTTGTACTGAATATGTTAATCAGGCTTGTAGATTGCTGCTCCTGCGTCAACCATGGCAAAAAATGCTAATCGTTTTCAGATTTGTCTCGTTTCTCGTCAAAAATATATCGCATTTTGCGATGCAAACCCAGTTATTTCCATCACTGCTTTTAGTAATTGTGCACTGGAAGTAGGGCTAAACAGTATTTGCAAACAGGTCGTAGTGAACTGCGAACAGATCCAATTCTCCGGACCCGCTAAGCAGACATTTTTACTAACAAAGCTTCAGGCTAAGCACTTCTCTGCTGAAAACCAACCACAAAATGGGCACAATGTATGTCAGTTTGGTTGGCACCCTGTTTCTGCTAAGCTGATACATTAAATGCTTAACAACATTATGACATTAGCAACTTCATGGAATTGCGCTCATTTTTCAGTTCTGTATGTATTGTTCTGAATTTTATCCTCAAGCCAGCGTTGTTCCTTTTTCGTTCTAAATCTCCCCTGTTGCTCATGAACCCAACCTGGACCCAATTTCATGACGCTGCGAAGGCTCCGTGTGCTTCACGGACACCATCAGCTGATATTTGAAAGCCACACTCAAACCACGTAACCCTGCAACCGTTTATCCATATTTCATCCACTTTCTATGTTCAACATGGCCTTAAATATTTTCCTGCAGAGACACCCTGGACCATGGAGCCTCTACCCTTATCTGCTGACACCTGCATAAATCAGACGGCAGGTGTTGGAAGTTCGGCAGAATTCTTTTGCTTCTTCTTTGCCGGCGATAATAGCAGGGACGTGGAGCTCACTTGGTACAAGCGGGTGGTGTCCGGAACATGGGTACCGGTCAGCTCCCTGTACACCAAGGAAACAGAATATGAGGAAGTGGTCGACTACACAGAGAAAAGAGAGTACAGGTGGGAGGTGGTTATTTTTACAATGGTCCAACAGTGGCATCGTTAGATAATGAAATCCACGCATCTGGCTGATTTTTTGCGAAATAAAACTGTCAAGTGGTTTATGGCGTGTTAACTGCACAGATGAGCGAAGGAGGAAGTTTGCGTCCCCAAAAGCCATTGCTACAGCTTTTATTTTATTTCCAGAGTCAGGCCTCCACTAGATTGCAGGAAAAGAGTCAATTGATTGGGCTGTCGTAAGCTTAGCACGGCATAGAGCCTTAATTGATTGCCCAGCTGTATTGTGCACTATACCAAGTCAATGAAGGTAGCCTCTGATATGGAGTCTATGCATAGCAACATCTGTGCATGCCCAGCAAAAGTATACAGGCCAGTAAAATCTGTAGTTAGCTCACCTGATGGGGTACGCAGCCTTGTCTCTAGCTTCAGGCAAAGAGGAGGCCGCAGTACCAGCTAGGGGGGCATATTGCAAGAATATATACTGGGGGTACCTAGGGAAAAAAGTTAGCGCAAGGCCTGAGACTGCATATTGGTCTTGCACCCAGACATCTCAGTCCAAATCATTGTCTTTTACAGTGGAAGTGGCCTGAAAGAGACGGCTGGAAAGCATCTGTACGTCAGGCAAGTGACGGAGGAGGCCTATGGCGATTATCGACTTGAGGGGAACAACAGCTACGGGGCCAGATACACACAGCCCTTGTCTCTCACAGGTACAGTTGAGTACTTGAAACGGTTGTGGGGCTAGTAGTTGCCATGGTAATGATGGTGATGATGATGATAACATTAGTGGTTGCCATGGTAACAATTGTAGTGTTGGTAATGGTAGTGATTGTTGCAGTTATGACCGTGACAGTATGGGGTTGTCCTGCTAACGATGGTGGTGGTTGCTGTGGTAATAACAGTGACAGTATGGTGGTTGCCATGGTTACAAAGGCGATGGTAATTGTACTGAATGCTGTGACATCCGGTTCATATTAAAGTGACTTTGTCATTAAGGCGGACGCGCCACGATTTGCAGGCTCCCACTGGACGATCCCTGAACTTACATGTTAACTTTCGGTTCCATTTTCCATGTGCACAGCAATCAATGCATATAAGTCTATGTGCAGTGCATGTGCAGTGGGCGTGGTTTCAACTGAAGTGATGTCCGGATAGACAGTGACATTGTAGTGGTTGCTATGGATCTGGTGATCCTGGTGATAGCAGTGATAATGAAAAGGATGACTGTTAATGTGGTTTTAAGAAAATGTGAAGATACAGTGCTGGTGAAAATGACGGCAATAATGCGTGTTACACAATTAAACCTGCACAAATTTTGTATAGTTACTACAACAAGGTAGTGTTCGTTGCTTACTTCCAACAGACTGTGTTGAGGAAAGTTTGTTCTCCCAAGCACTTTGAAAGGAGTCTGTGAAATCTACCCAACTCTTTGGAGGTCCATTTTTGTCATATTTATTTACTGTAAACGTAAAGTAGATCTTCAGATTGTATGGACTATATTGAGTAGACATCCAAACTCCCTAATCCCATGGATATCAAGGCTGAGCAGTAGGCCCTCCCAAATCTATGGTCTCTTTCAATACCCAGTGTATGCTTTTTTGGTGTGTCTTCCCTTCAGCCCCTCCGCCGGAACCCATGGCAGACTTGACGGCCGTCATAGCAGCGACCGTGGCCGTGGCTTGCCTGCTGGTTGCACTGGTGGCGATGGCCGTGACCTGGCATTTTGTCAAGCTGGACGTTAAGATCTGGAGGAAGAACCGCTTTGGGGCCTTAGAGGACGACGGTAAGTCGGCTACGAATCATGCACTTTGTCAGTCAAGAAGGGGTGCATTTGAAAGAAAAACGTAGGGGGAACCTTGTAATGTTTCCCACTTTAATTAAACCCTGTCACTTTTGACCTAATTTCACTTTGTTTCGCACTGACCCAAACTTAGCAATACGCGCTTGAACATGCAAATTTGAAATGTGCCTGCCTTTGCAGACGGGAAGACATACGATGCGTTTATCTGCTACGCTGACGAAGATCTACCATTTGCTCTGGACATCCGTGAGAGGCTCGAGCAGGCTGACTATAACGTCTGCGTCGGTGATATTGATTTCACACCAGCAACAAGTAAGGCCCCATTCGTTGTATTTACAAAAGAATTCTCCGATACCGCTGCGGGTAGTGTTAAGGCTGTAAAACCTTGATGATGGGATTTCACCAAACGGGTTCAACTTGGGTCATTCAAACTGGCAGGCACTCAACTTGCATATTGTTGAGAATTTACACTTGTACTTTATAATGATTGTTTTCTACCAAGATCTCAGAAGGCATTCAGCTAAATAGTACCCGTTTGTGATTTTTGCATTTTTTGTCATTTAGGATCAAAGAAATTGCTCTGATCATCAAGACTGGTTCTTGAAATCCTCCCCATTTGAAGTTTGAGCTCTGTCAGAAAAATGTAACATTTTGAGAAAGTGCACAACATTTTTTAGTGTAATCCGGTAAGCCTGCAGTGCCTGTAACCTTTCTGTTGACAAAGTTACAAATTTTGCAACAATTTATTGGGTTTCTAGAAGTCTCAGGATTCATCCAAATCTGTTGTGTAGAGCTAGTTCTAGGTCTTCACTCTGTTGGAAATATGCAAAGACATGCAGACAGTAGACCTAGCCATAGTTCTGGACGCCCATTTTGGATACAGACTTTGTCACATTTTGGTGTGCTATTTCTGATCTTCATTGTTTGCCCACCATGCCAGTTGAGACGTAAAGAATGTGGTAGTTGATTTTCCCTTTAATTCAGAGGTCACTGATGTGAGATAACTGGATTTTGGCTTCCTTTTCTGTCAGCCCTGGTTGAGGAGATTATTCTGGCCCTAAACACCAGCCGGCGCTGCCTAATTGTCATCTCACCTGATTTCATTCGCGCCCGCCACAGCGCCATCCAGGTGGACGTCGCGGCCGACCAGTTGCTGCACCGGCAGATCAAGATCGTGCCCGTGGTCTACCGCGCCATCTCGGCCACCGACCGCGAGGAGATGCCGCTCCTCAGGCGCATCCTGACCAACGTGCGGGTGGTGCAGTGGGACGAGGAGGCGGCCGACCGGTCCACCAAACAGCTGCTGGTCCACATGCCGCCCCGCCGACCAGCCGTGACTCCACCCCAGAGGGAAGGGATTGAGGAGAGGAACCTCCTGCGGTTGTCGGACGGAAACGTCAATGGGCAGGCAGACGGAGGTGCACCCCCCCATCTTGACATCGCCGTGGGCTGTGAGATGAACCGATTTTTGAGGGACATCGCAGAGATGGAGACCAGACATCATCATGCAAACCAAGACCAGAAGGAAAATGCCTTGCCGTGTTGATGTTTATCGACCCGACAAATAAAGGAGTCCATCATAGCCAAGACCCCAGCTAGCTTTAAACATACTTATTCAAAGGTGCTCAATCTCACTTTTAATTCCCATTTTTGAGTGCTTTTTTGACTAAATGCCAATTAACCCTCCTATGCTGAAGTCACTCTTTGGGTCACTTGGTAAACACCTCAAAGAAGCACAGCTGTGTCTTGTGCACTGCACCAACATGCAAGAGAGTGACCTTGGGCACTTGTGCATATTTGTGCTGTAAAACCAAAGGAGGGTTAAGGTCGACAACCAATTTTTTTTAGACAGTGAAAGAGGTCAAAGTTTCACATAAAAACCAGAAAAGTTTTGAAAATCAGCTGGTAGATTTACCAACTGTTCAAAAACCACCCACCTGCCCGGTTCTCAATCATTGCAAACGGGTAAACAGGCAGAAGTGTTTAACAGGAGGGGGGTATGGCTCCCCCCACATAAAAAATATCCACCTTTTTGGACCTTCCCCAACAAGTTCAGCTCCCCTCCAAAAAAAATAACATTTGCTTCCTGGTTTCACATGGAATTGTGCACACTTTGACAAATGGGTTTAGTCTCAAAACATACCGTAGGATTAAGTATGTGCCGAACAAAGTCACATTGAATTTTGATAGTTTGTGCCTTCCATACCCCTGTCACACAGAGTCATTGCGATTGCCTTGTTCAGTGCAACAAGCTGTCGTTGACTAGGTCACTAGGGTTTACGCTCCAGGATGTCACCGTTTCAACAATGAAACTCCGGCTTGCCAAAATACTTGTACAATCCTTTTTTTTTTCCTTTAATGTGCAAGCTCTAAAGGTTCTTTGTGTAAGGGAACTTTTGGATTTGCATTTGGGTCTTCACGAAATTGTTCGATTGTACTTCAGTATCGGTTTGGATGTTTTTCTTCAGATAAAGGAACCATGTTTCATGTTTGTTTCGGTAACAATGTTTTAACACGACACTGAGCCGGTCTTCAAATGTCACTCCAAATGTTTACTGTCCAGTCCTCGGCTCCTTGTTGAAGAAGTCCAAAGTTCAAGTCAGGGCATATTTCTGCGGTCACAACTTTGTATTTGTTCCACACAAAGTAATCAAAACTCCCCCCCCCCAAAGGATAAATATCCATGTCAGTTCAAAAAAAGTTTGCTACACAAGGCAAGAATAAAAGAAAAATGGCTTCTTAGCTCCTTTATTTCATGTAAATGTGATGTATATATATGCAGAAAGTACATGGAGGACCATTTGAGTTTGCGACGATTGTGACAAGATGTGACGAACGCGTTCTGGTCAGCCGGTAGTGATAAAGAGAGATGAAGAAACTCAGTGAAAGAAAAAGGAAGTTAGATTTCTTAGTATGGTCTCTTAACCATGATACATGCACATACATGTATGTTATTAAAGGCCGCCATGGGAGATAAATATGGAGACACTTTCAGGTTCTCTTTTAAGATGCTTTGAATATTTTTGTATAATAAATTGAGCTATCTATGTGAATGACAGAGCCTTTGCAATTAAGATCTCTGTGTGTATTGTACTAAAGATATATGTAACTATATTTTTAATGATGTATATTTGTCTACTGTGTGAAATTGTTAAACTGCAAGTTACCGAGCCGTATGATTATTTAAATTTAAGTCACTCCTAGCACTTTGTTTTTAAAAAGACCCAACTGTAGTCATACAATTTTTATTAACTCTGTAAAGAAATAATACACATTACTGTTTTCAGAATTTGAGATATAATTGCCTCAAAAGGGAAAAAGGAGACTCCAAGGCAACCACTGAAGTCCATTCTCACTGAATGTACAAGATTATGCTTTGCATTTTTTTAAATTCTGAATGCACAATATCTGAACTTGCCATGTAAATGGAAACCTGTCGCATTTCAGAAACATTAGCTTTACTTCCAGCGATATCTCTGAGCTCCAGCCTCCTCGGGTTCATTTGGCATATTAAAGGGCTCCACGTTGCCACCTTTTTCTGTCACCTTACGAAAAAACAGAGCTTTGCTAAAATCTTTTAATCAGTGATAGGCTTACAATTGGTTGCAGGTGCAGAGACAAAAACATGCTGGGTGAAACGTAACTGCAGTTGGAGGATAAGTGTTGAGTAGCAGAAATCATTTCCACATTAATGTGCGAATTCCCCCCCCCTTCTGCTATCATTAGTGATATAAAAATAACCTATCAAACGTCATTACAAACTTCGAATCTTGGGGCATGTCTCAAACCTTGCTTTTATTCTGTCGAAGCCTTAAAATCCGCTAACCATGCGGATCAACAGACTTCAAACCTTGTATTTCACGTTATGTTTTTTAATACTCCCCAGGCTGAATTTTACAATTGTTGCGTATGAGGATTACAGTTAATTTAACATGTATTCAGTTGGAGCCTACTGTTGTCTTTGTAAGTGAAGCCGATGTTCCGTAAATAGCCACGAAGTGAGCTTTGATAGGATAACTTTGGACATGTCAACGTCAAGCGACATTGAAAAAGATAACGCCGCCATTGTTGCTTTGTGTGTGCCTCTCGTGTTTGTGTCTGGCTTGTGTTACTCAGAAATTACCGGGGGAGTCCCTACCTATTGTTATTCGGGTATAGTTTACCCATTTGAGGTCAACCTTTACGTGTACATTGTAGGGCGTCTCTATGCGCGGATTGTGTTTATATAGTATACGAGAAGTGGGTTTATATGTTAACGCGATAACCTTGAACAGTGACTTGTTACATCTCAAAAATGATTCATAAGCTTTGCAGTGATACTCAGACTTGCTTCACTGCACTTACGAATGACTGGACACCATGTTTTTTTCTTAATTAATTTTCCCAGCAAAGTCTTGTTCCTTGTTCTGAAATAAAAGCCCCCCATGGGGCATACGACGGTCATTTCTCGTTGATTAATCCCCTTTTCTCTCAAAGTACACGTGTAGAGGATTTGCATGTCATCTGGCAGGCCAGGGCTTTTGTTCAACATCGTATGCACAAAGTAGGTTCCCTTATGGAACAATAGAACTGTCTTGCAATATAGATGTTCGAATGATAGCAAATGACTCTGTTCACCCTCGATGAACTTAATTGCATTATCCCGCCGTACAGTGAGTAAGCCCCCCCCCCCGCAACCCAGCCTCAAACCAGGAGCCATTTTAGTCGGGAGTAGCAGCTAAGTTTACCCCTCGCCCCGCCCATTTTTACCGGCAGCACCCGGATTGTCACCATGCAGTGAGAGTATAATTATTTCACACGACGTAATAATTTCTCGCGTGTAACATTTAACTTTGCTAAATTGGACCTCGCGTCGTAAGCTGGAAAGTGTGCTTTTGATTTATGGAGCTAGGGTAATTTTTTTTTCGGATCTTGCCTTGCATCGCACAAATTTGGTCCTTTTAACGCTTTGGAAGATTTCAGTTCAAATTCAAATACGACGGGGTCACGTTTTCAATCATGCTCGAAGTTATAAATTCAGTAGAGATCTACAGCTCAAAAGGTATACCTCAGACTTCCTGGTAAAACGAGGTAGGCAAAGACAGGCGTCTGAAAACATATTACTTGGACTGATCCAAGCAGGACATGATGTGTGAGTGAGCAAAATCGGGTCCTTGTGTTGTGCAGTGCTCAATTGTGTCTGACAACACAAATCTTAAATTTTAGATAGTCTATACACCATGATCGGCCTCCGCTGATAGTAAATCACTTAGCATTCTGCTTTTGTGCGCCAGAAAAGTTTCCATAGGAAAATTAGGGGAGTGAAAATGTTCTCCACCCCCTACTTTTCGGGGAAAATGGAACAGTCGGTTTAGCACGTGCGACACACGCAGTGCGCGCTAAGTGGGGTGGTATCAGCTCAGTGACTTTCGTCAAGGACTTTCCTGGAAGCAGTCTTGACTTGTTTGGTTGTTAAAAGTGCCTCCGGAAATACGAATGAAGGCAGGCATTTCTGGTGCTAAGCACAAACAGTGTCATCAGCGGTTGGTAGTATGAATTCAACAACAAATTTTTGTGGGTAAGATTTTGTGGCTTTTGCGTTGAAACATTGAAATTTGTTGACAGGCGGTGCAACTGCAAGGTGTTGGACTACTCACATTTGTACGTTGAGCCTCCTACTTGAATGGCTGTATGTGTTTTCTGTTAGTAGCGAACTTTTCCCCCATGTTCGCGAGCTTTAGCCAATATATGTCAGAATGTTAAAAAAGCTCTGCTTCAATTCGTTTGTGAATTGGTCATGTTTTATCGAAGACCAGCTTCAAGTTCAGGAGGAAGTTGGTTTTAGGAGGCGCCATTTCGTTTTACAGCATTTGTTCTCATTTCCTGTACAGGCAGTGTTTATATGCCAACGAACAGTTCCTTCAGAATGCAGGGGAGAGGTGCCACCGTGGCTGAAGAAAACAGGACGAAGAGCCACGGCAACTGTTTGCCATGGAAACCTGCACATCAGTTCTTCCTTCTGTTACTGAGCTACTCTTTTGGGCGAGGTGGATGTATAAGCTGCCAATTGCATAACAACAATGGTACAGGTACAGTGCCTGAAAAAAGTGAAACACTGTTGGATATTGTTCTCTTTCATAAAATTTGGTTTGGATAATCTAGCGGTGCATTTTAAGTTCAGAAAGATCGTTGGCCATTGGACTTCTGGATTTAGTTGCTTGGATGCGGTATTGTAAACAGGATATTTCTGAACTGTGAATTAGCGCTGTGTACAAAACAGGACAATGATTATTTCCCGGTTGTGATTGCGCTGAATGAATTAAATAGCCCAGGGAAGAATGACAATTTTAGTATTTTGCACTCAACTGTGGCTGCTTTGGATGAGTCCCAGTCTGCCACCAAACTGAACTTCAACAGTTTTTGTGAGTAAGCGATAATTCTTGGTAACTCTTGGCCTGCACTTAAAGCCAGTTTTTTATACATGTATTCATTGTCAGACCTTAGTTGATCTTGTGTAGTTTTTAGGGCAATCAAGGGACTCCAGGGCACTGTGTCTGTTGAGTCCTAGCCGGAGTGTCTTCAATTGTAACCTGCAAACTAGATGTGTAGCCCGCCTGAAGGGCCGGATGGAATTAGTTTCAGCTTGGAGGTCAAAATTCAGTCCTTGATTTGAAGAATGGTTGAACTTTGTAGTTCGGTGCACAAAAGGCCTTTTAGTGTAGCGTTGACTGTACTTTGCATTTCAACCCGGAATTCATGGGGTGCAGTGCTGTTTTGTTATGTTCATTGTATAAAGTCTGATGCACACTGTTGGTGGTGGTTCTCCGCAAATATGATAGCGACTGGACAAACTTGTATTTGAGCTTGTAATACTTTCAATAAAAATTTTTTCAGAATGTATTCATTTATGGTAATTTTTGGACCTTTTTTTTTAATTTGGCACGGGGAAGTATAAAAGGTATATAAAACAGTTTGAAGGCCATGCCGTTCACCCAGTCACAGAAGGTTAGAAATTCTTTTTAAACGACATACCAGCTTTGTGGAAAGCTCTCTAAAAAGACATCATCGATCACTCCTCATTGCTGCTCGATACACCGATTACTCGCACTAAGACTTATGGACATCGTTCCTTCATGCATGCATCACCATCGCTATGGAACTCTCTTCCTCACCATATCCGAATTATCAATAGCAAAAATGAATTTAAAGCAGTTCTGAAAACTTACTTGTTCCATTTATTGTTCTTAATGGTTGTGTCTTGTAAAGCGCACTTTGTTATTATTATTGTTATCAGTCATCAAAAAAGGGATCCAAATGAAGGTGTGGAACTTGTGCAGGTTGGAACCCCTACTTCCCTCAGTCACCACCCAAGGGGGCTGTTCCTAGCTCCCACCCCACCCTCAGGATTTGAAAATGATGAAAGTACGTTGGAATTACCCCCTTTCCACCATTGATGGTTTGTCAGTTTGCCGCCGACTTTGCCTCCCCATCTTTGCCCCTCCCCTTGGAATAAGCTACAGACATTACCCCCTTCCTGGTAATGCCAATGTGTCCACCCCTCTCTCTATCTCTGTCTCTGTCATAGGTACGCACTTAGCTTTTATCACGGCAGGCACTGTTAAGCAACATGTCATCTCCAAGGGCTTTCAGAGCATCTCCTGTGCGGCTGTCAACTTCTGCCGCATACGATGGTACCGTCTCTCAGCAGACGCCCGCACGATGGAACCCTACCCTTGGGACTTGGGCAATTTCACGATCGTGGCACCGGTGGATGCCAATCAGACCCTGCGCTTTCAGTCCGCTGACGACGCGGCAGAGGGATCCTACGTTTGTGTCGCCTCCAACGGAACACACCAGATCAACAGATCCACCCATCTGACAGTGGATGGTGAGTATTCTTCGTTTTCATATACAAATTAGGGAAGTCAGGCAATGGTGTATTGGCTCTTTCCTCGCCTTCCACCTCTGCGACCCAGGTTAATTTTGAATCCCACCTGGGTCAGCATGTGGATTGGGTTTTCTGTCCCTGCCTGATTCTTTGGGTTTCCTTCCCACCTCTAAATCTGAACATCATTGTCTCCTTAATGATCACTTCATCCTTTAATTAGCGCTGAATGTGCTGTTGGATCAACAAATATAAATAAAAAATATCAATATATTTTCTCTGGAAAAGAACTGTTGTGATACTGTCACACGGCCAGTGTGAGCCTACAAGATAAGATATGATTGTAGAGCTATGTGTTATTCTGTCATCTGACATTTGTATGTTCCCTGGTCCTAACTTACAGAATTTCACTGATGTATTTCTACTTCAGTGGGTTTCTATTTTAATGGAAAGAAACTGACCCCAATGTAGGATTTTTCAAGGTTTGGGGTTGTTTAAAAGAAGAAAGTTTAATTTGGTTCAGGCAAGAAATCCAAACAAAGCAGAACTTTGTGCCAATCTTCCTTCCTGACTGTCAGGGTGAACACTTTTTTGTTACATATGATTAGCTTGACATGTACCAGCTGGAACCTCACAGGATTTCCTGTTTCCTTTACTGGTGTCTGTGATATGTTGTTGCTGGCAGGAAGAATCAAGCTGTATCGTATGTTTTATCGGAGTGTCTTATGTATTCACTTGAATTTAACCAAAGTGCTGTGCATGTAACCAAAATATATAGATTTACTGATCGCACCACAGTGCCTCGCATGCAAAAAGATTAGTCTTGGTTGACAAAAAAGGCGTTGTCTTCCGTGTTCAAAATGTCTGTCAGATCCTCCTGGGAATTAAAAAAAAGGTTATGCAGGGTACTTTCTTCAAGTTGAACAATTTCTTCAGTAAAAGCAACACTCGCTAAATGATCTGAGAGTCTCCCAAATTGTCTGACATTCTTTATTTTTTTTTCTTTTTTGAGTTTACCAACTTCCGGGATACAGAAATGAAATAAAACAATTGATCATGATGGAGCCTTTTGAAACTCTTGAATATTACTGGCAAGTCAAACTCAAGTGAGAAGTTAAATGCATGAAGTAAGTCAAGATAATTTTAAATTTATATTTTTCTTATATAACCACCCGTACTCAGCAATGGAGAGAGTCACATTGTGAAATGATGAAATGTTACTCAAAGAGTACAACTGTTCAAAACTCACTGTTGGCCAGATATATATTTTCCACTCATGAATTTCTCGCTCTTCTTCCCCAACATCAAATAAACAGAAAAATTGGCTTCCAAAAAAAAATAAGACTTTTTATCCCCAAGGGATATCCACACCCACAGACAATTCCTCTCCTTTGTGCTCCAGTAAACAGAATCTGGATATTTTCAGGAATATTATGATAATACCACTGGGGTGTCTTCCTAGCTAGCTCTGTGATATAGTTGAGGTTCAATCAGGGGAATCTCCATCCAAAATGTGCAACGACTCAGTCACACCCCCGGCATAAGATAGGGCCATACCTGATAATCCCTTTGCCCATAGGATCTCATGCTGCAGTGACAAACTAATATTTTTTTACCCCGCCTTTTTCCGTTCTGATGACAGTGTTTATTTCTTTGGTATCTCACAACACCCCAACACTGTTAACAGTACTTGATGGCTGTACATGTAGATGTACATGCACCTGTGGCTTTTTCAAGAGTCCCACCTGTACCCAGTGTCCTATCCAGCCCTCAGTGACGTGCCCCGAGGACAAGCAAAACTTATTCAGGGCAGGCAGCTTTTCCTAGTGCAGGATCAAGTTACAAACCCAGATGAATTATGGTCCAGTCTGGTCTAAGTATGACCATTTAATTCTGAAAAGGATATAATTGGGTTAGGTTGTGACAAATAAGTAAACATGTAGTGTTGTTGTTTTTTGTGATAAATATTAATTTCCATTTCCACTCAAAAATTACCACGTTTTTCCTGCCCGTATAAAGGGGTGATTATCAACTCCATGCGTTGTTACAGATTGTTCATCAGAACCAAAATCTGTCATTTACTTTAGAAATAAGTTCCTAATTGAACCTCAACTTGAAGTTAAGGAATTGTGCCTGGAGGTAATGGTTAATAAGTGGAAAATAGACTGACACGAAATGAAACAAAAGTTTAACTTGTAATCCTCAAGTAGAGATGTGTCTGTTTAAATGGAGATATTGCTATCTTCTAAAGAAGATGATGCTATTTGGGGATGAAATGTTAAATAGGAATGCCATACATGTATTTTTTTCCGTGTGGGGCTTACTGCTCAGTTTCTGCATTTAGTACCCTGATGTTTGACTTTCCCTAACTCAATCCAGCTCCATTTTCTGCCATGGGAAACATCAATTCGTTTCATGCAGTGCCACGCGTGATGGAATATTTCCAGGCTGCTCACAGGAGTGAATGTTTAAAAGAGGTTCACAGTCACAGCCGAAATGAACCCTTTTTTCCCCCCCTGCATGGCAGTGAGGTATTGGACCGGCGACCCTCTGCAGCTTCAACACAAGCTCTGCCACAACCGCACGGCGGAGGTGGGCCAGAACGTGACCCTGTTCTGCCAGTTCTATGTGGGCCTGGAGGTGCGGCTAACGACCGTCTACTGGCGCCGGCCCAACACCTCCCTGCCGCAGGAGCAGTGGTCGGGCTGCGGCCAGGGCTGGGACTGGCTGGGGATCGGCGTGCTGCGGAAGGTCTCCCACTACACCACCTACCACATGAGGCTCATCCAACACATGAATGACTCGTAAGTCTAGCGTCCCCTGCTCCTTCCCAAGTGTGTTTGTCTTATAATAACCGTTTCTCACCGGAGGAGCCTTTGTATCTTTCTAATATCTTGCCTGATTTTCTGTAAATGATTTCGTTATCTCATCTTGCCGACTTGTTTTTGAAAATGTAGTGGCAGCGAGACACCCTGGATCGGCAGCAGGCTGGATATCGTCAATGTCAGCGAAGAGGCATATGGAATTTACTGCGTCATTGCCAACAATGGCGGCCATTGGTCACGAGACGTCCTGATGCTCAGCCCCCCAGGTGATTGGATAAGACTCTCATAATTGTCATGAATATTCCCTTCAGAATACCCTACTCAAACTTCATTTACCTATTGAGACCAATTCACTTACCCATTGGATCCAATTCAATTCACATACCAATTGGATCCAATTCAATAACCAATTCCAAAACTAATTGCTTTTGCTTGGCATCCAGTTGGGTTCAATTGGTTTGAATAGTAAATTTGAATCTTTTCTCAGTTGGACCATTTCAAACCAATTGTAACCAACTGAAGAACCAATGAAAAAACATTTCAATGCCAATTCCAATCCAATTGAGTCCCATTTGAAAAATCCATTTGATGGGGGAAACCAGCAGAAAGCATACCAATTGGAACCATTTGATTCCCATTTGACATTCCAATTGATTGGGTAAAATAAACAGCAAAGAAAAAAAATGCCAATTGAAACCAACGCGTCCCATTTTGAAATCTCCAATTGATGGGGGAAAACAAATGGGACAGAAAACATACCAACTGAAACCAATTGAGCACCAATTGATTGCCAGTTGGAACCAATTCATTTCAATTAAATCCAATTCAAAAATCAATTGGTTTGAATAGGCCATTTTTAGTAGGGTACTACCACGAGGCAAATATGTTCCAAAATCATCGATTAAACAAACTGTATCAATTTCAGATGAAAAACCGAGGCCCGTTGTCCGGCACTACCAAGAGCTGCCCTGGGTAGTGGTGGGATCAGCTTTCCTCATGGTCAGCGTTTCTCTTCTGGTGTGGAAGATGGTGGCGCTGGAGGTGAAACTCTGGTACCATGGCCGCTATGGGGACGATGAGCAGAATGGTGCGTCCATGTGGCTTTTCCGTCAACAGAAATCAAATCGGTGAATTTCAGTAAAACCACGGTGGCATTTAGTCCACATGCCTCTGCAGGTGGACGTACAGTGGTCCGAAATGCTTTTGTGGGATCCATTTCCTATTTATTTTTGGTTTTTCAATTCTGGTTGGTAACTTTTGTTCGTGGGTACTGCTGTGTTGTTTTTTTTACTTTGACTTGGGCACCAGTAAAGTTAGTCACACACACCGCGTTTAGGAGCAGATCAACTGTGGCTGCATCCGAATCTCTTGTCTAGAGCTAGGTCTAGGTCTTCACTCCATTAGAAATGCGTGGAGATGCGTAGACAATAGACCTAGCCGTAGCTCTGGAAGCCCGTTTTGGACACGGCCAGTGTTGTAGTCAAGACCAGTCACAAGACCAGACACAAGACCAGACACAAGACCAGACACAAGACCAGTCACAAGACCAGACTCAAGACCAGGCACAAGACCAGACACAAGACCAGTCACAAGACCAGTCACAAGACCAGACACAAGAC